TTAGGGCCTTAGGGTGGAGGCCATCGCTCTTAGGGTGGAGGCCATCGTTCTGTGTCCTTCTCGGTGAACTGGCCCACTTCGATGATCCGATCAAAGAGCTCACCGCCGGTGCAAAGCCTATGGGAGGGTGCCGGCGATGGAAGAATCAGCGAGCGAGCGAAAAGACGGGGACCTCAAGCATCCAATATGGGACTGGACCGGTCGACCGGTCGATTGATCCTTCCAACATTTCAAAGCTTTGGGGGAAAGGGGGGGAAAGGATGGGAAGATGGGAAGTGAAGAATGAGCGAGCAACAAAAATGACAGCCCCAAGTATTCCGACTGGAAGATTGAGTCAATTGATGCTTCAAACATCATAGTTCATCTCAAACCTAGATATTAGATTCAGATGCTATTAGGATATATATTATAGGTATATATATATACCAGTCCCATGGATGCTGGTTGGGGAGAGGGGGTACGGTGAAAGGCCTGTTTTTGGCTCCTTGATGATTCGACGCGTCAGGGTCGCAAAGCGTTGCGTGTAGCTAAGTGCTTGAGACGTTGGCAAAGCTGTGTGAAATGAACCAATACCCTAGACTTGCAAGACCCAAAAAATGGTTGACCTGGTTTTGTAGTGTAAAATGCTCCAATAGTTGGTTCGGTAAAGCCTATTAATTTAACGGGGGTTGGACGTCTAGGGAATATGGGCCAATTAATTATGATGGACAACTGGTTCATCTGCGGGGCGAGGGTACATCTCTCGAATCTTTCGAGAGTAAATCAGACTGAGGCATTCCATCTGCGTCTTCAGTCACTCCACAGCTGCAAAACAAGTCCTTTCGGTGGCGCGGTGTCTTCTTCATGAATTCAGTGCAAAATAGTCCAAACAAGGAGCTCCATGGCCAAGTAGATGTGTTTTCGATCTTCCTCAGCATACTTGGCTTGGGCAGGTGATATCGGACATCCCACTTCGCCAAGCAAACTTGAGGATCCCGTCTTCTCATGTCTTCTCGATTACAGGACTCAATCACTCGAGGTAAACACTGTAGCGACTCGATACAGTCTTAAAATCAGATCTGAGGCACAAAGGTTTCATAGAGCTTGATGATGTTTGGATGATCCATCGATTTCATGATGGCCTTGGCAGCGATGGACAACACCCGGATGTTCTCGACGGATCTTCGCCCGAAAGTCGGAGCGATTTGGACGCTGATGAGGGTGGTGGATGAGATGCAGGGGCCCGGAGACCCACTCCCCTGAGATGCATGGGCCCAAATCCTGATTTGTTTTGGTGGTAGTTTATTTTAGAGGACCTCCCATTTGTTAGAGTGAGGGGGGGAATCACTTTTACCAGGATCCATCATTCATCTGGATGATTAGCTCTATAAAAAAAGAATGTCCGGCAATCCTATAATGCCTGTGACCATCCGACCACCTGGGTGTCCTGGCTGGAGATCTAGCAGGGCAGTCCAACCACCCAGAACGTCACCTGCTCTGTCGAACTCTTCGTCTTAATCCCTTGCCCAGGTACGATCTCCTGCTGAAATCGGACCACGTGCTTCCTTGCGAAGAGGAGATGGGAACATGTCACAAATTCTGTGGATTTCAGCTGACATCACGGCCCATGAATCCCTGAAGCAAGCTCTTGTCCACTCTTTTTCTTCTTTAGAAACAGCTGTGAATCTGCACATGTTGGCTTCCACTGTTGTTGCTGATTTGAGGGGGGGGACAACAAAACTCCCATATAGCTTCTACTAGCTTCTGATCAGTCAGGCGGTCTCCCCAACCGGGCCAAGCCCGATGTTCAATGTACGAACAGTACGCTACGTATGAGCAGCACCCGGTTCAACTTCGGTTCTGATGTATACCGCAGCGCCCGGTGTTCAAACACGTTTGGGTTGATGTGTTGGGTTTGGGTCTGCACGTGCCAAAACGATGGCCTAGCACGACCACATCGTCGCATGTCGCAGCCGTGGACGGTGAAGCGCTTCTCTTCTCTGGCACCTGCGCCTAGTGAAACTGTCCAACCAAATCCCCGGGAACCCTCCAGTTGTCCAGTTGAACCTCTTTCCAAGAGCTTTGCGTCCTGCGCCTTGGCAAGGTTTCTTGGTTCAATTCCAACACCCTCCAAGATGTTCCACCAGCCGAGCCTTTGGACCGGGCCGAGCTTCAAGTTCGCCTTGGACATGGTCTTGATGGCTCGCTTGGCGCCCGTGCTGTTGTGCACTCCGATCGCCACCTAGAGACATCAGTCGCCGCGAGTTCGCGAAGAATTGGACAAGTATGATGTTCCAGCAGTCACAAAGGGGTGCTTAATGGAGGGTAGGGGTGCCCCTGTCACATCCACTCACTGGATGGGACGAGCCACACCACCCCGTCTTGTGACTGCTGGTTTGTTGTTGCTCTTTTTTTTGGGGGTGCATTTGGTGTAATGAACAATAAGATACAATCAGTTGAGTCTCCAATATGTTGGTCAGTATGTTGGTCGTGAGTCTTCAAATGTCTGTGCTTTTTGTGAATGAAGTCATGGACAGATTCTCCAAGTTGGTATCCACCCGCTTTGGATCTGCATGGACCACTCAACACCCCTTTGGAGCTTCTGGCTGTTCGGTCTTCTCCTAGCTGTCTGTGCCATTTTTTTATCTGTTTCTATCTTGTTCCTTGTCTAAATGGATGTGTACGTGGATGGTTCTGGCAAACCCTAGGAAGAACTGAAGTCCTTGTCTACTCACCCCCATCCTCGTCTTCTTGATCTTCTCGATCTGCTCCCACAAATGCATAAAAACATGGGGGATACCACCATCCTACGGACTGCAGGGCCCAGGCTACGGCGGTCCTTCAGACTTCACGGCTAGGTTCTGTCACCCAGCATGTGCAGTTCCCGCAGTCTGCCCAAACATCTCGAGCTCGAGGCGGGGGGACGTAGGTCACAAGCCAGGGCACAGAACCGTACGTGCCTTCGCCGATGTTATTGTTCTGCATCTTGTACATCGACTGCACGTCCCCCCGCGTGACTCCTCAGCAGGTGCAAAATGAGTGGAAGTGGACACAAAAAACTCCATCATGGGACTGGAATACAGTACCAGGGTTCCCTACGGGGTGCCTAACAATAGCCCCTGAAAGGTTAAGGGATGTCCATTAAACACCCCGTAGGGGCCCTGGTATATGCCTACATTGACGCCCTGAAATCAATCATCCCAATGTATGTCAATATGCCAGTCCCATGGAGTGTCTGGGAGTGGCTCAGATGCACAAATGGTATGCCAGTACAAGGTGAGGTCATTTTAATGATCACCCTTGGGCTTGGAAGTGTTCAAGTTGAAAGATTCTGATACCATCATCTTGGACCTTCATGCAGCCCATGTTCATTCCAAGTTGTTTGATCATAGGCCTGCAAACGATCGAAGATCAGACTCAAAGACTCCATGTACGTTAATTGTGGTTTGGGGGCTTCGAGGCTCAATGTAGGCAAATATATGCAAATATGGCATACCTACCAAAGTGCCCGGTCATGTATGTATTCTATATCGATAGAATCATCGGCAATGCTATTGCTCCTCCAGGTCCACCAAGTTCGAGCAAGTCCGAACTAAACAACCACACATCCCCTGGCGCTCCAAGTACCTCCTCAGAAGGTATTTGGACCCTCTAAACCCCGCTCCAAACACCTTCTTAGAATGTACTTCGAGCCCTAGGGATCCTCTTTCAGTGCTTTCTTTCTCCCAGAAAGGTCTTTGAAGCGATCTTTGATCTCTCTAACCAGGTACGGCAGGCCTCCAGTCACCAGGTGTGGAACAAAGAACTGAACGCGGATTAAGAAGAAAAAGAAGAAGAACAACAACAACAACGGCAACGGCAACCGCAACAACAACCCTCCCCCCCACGAAACCATCACCCCTGAGGGGAGATAGATTTTTGGCCGAGAAAACACATACAAAAGCACAGCTAACCATCCACAACCAACGAATAGAGCATAGAGCTACGCCATTGCATACATAGACCACTGACTGACTTCATCCCCAAGCGTCAGGATCAACTGACTGCGGGTGATGCTTTCAGCCCGCTGATTCCGCGTGGTCTCCTGGGTGGACCAGTGGTGAGTCTGCGGCAGCTTGCAGAGCTACAGCAGCTGTGGGGATGAGTTGACCCCAGAATTTTGATCGCCCATTGCTTGGATCTGCACCCGATCCGCAAGTTTGCAGGGGTTGCGCGTCACAAGCGCACACAGAAAAGCTGCTCCGGCTCTTTCATTCCTCTGACCTCCTTGAGGTCCTAAAAGCAAAGGAAAACAGTGACCAGTCTTGGTGGTTCACGACTTTGGAGTGTCCCTTAACCCCTTTTGGAAGCAGCTGGTACTTGACCGACGGACAGGTTAAGTGACCGTAAATAGGACCCTATTGGGGTACCGGGTGCCCAACTGGGATAGTCTAGTTCGGGTCCTTCAACCTCTGTTGGTCCAGGCCACGCGAACGCCCCAACACGACCTGGGACTGGAAGAGGTGCCGATCACTTGACCCCCTGGCACCACCCCCAACTGACCATGGCACTCGGAAAAAACATATGGCACTCGGTCGTGTGTCGGTCGTGTTGGGGTAGCTTCCATCGCAACACCACCAGTTGGAAAGCTATTAGACTCAAGTGAGCGAGAGACACGAGAGGCACCGAAACCATGTCCAGTGCGTTTTCATTGGCGTTCATCCCTTTTCAACACATCAGTCAAGGCCGGTCTCACTAGGCCCTTTTCATGCCCATGCCGGTGAGGCCGAATAACAACATATTCACCAGCCGGGGACTCACCCTGCTGGTGAAAAAAACACCTTAAGATACCTCATACACCAGGATACACACACCCTAAGATACCTTAAGATACCCATAGGGGGAAACCAAGCAAAAGCCAGCATTTCACAGTTCCAACATTGATGTCCAACGCCGCACCTTTGAAGCAGTGACCACTTGTCACCAGGAATCCCTGTATAATCTCAAGTGGAACACATCACATCTGGGGAACTCACACGAATCACCCGCAGTCTTCTCCACTTCATTACCCAAACACTCCATGGGACTGGCATATTTGCCTACATGGGGTGGTTTTAGGGGTCAACGTAGGCAAATATTCCATACATGGATTGTCTGAGGGTGAAAATGCATCCGTTGCGCTGGCTGTTCTTCACAAACCGAGTCACTACCACTTCACGAGTCGTAAAGCGTTCTTCTTCCTTGGATGGTGCGCAGAGGCGTCCAGCAAACCAATGAATACGGTTCGGAACAGAAGCCCCCCTTTCAGCCTGAAAGTGTTGGTATTCAGCAACTTTGCGGGCAAAAACCCAGCAATTGGCTTCCCTACAAAGGCAAGACTCCAATAAAATTACGTATTCAAACAACAAACATCTGTGCGCAAGGACCTTCCAAATTGCAAAAAAAAGTCTCAAAAGCCACAATAAAACACATATTAAACATCAAAACACACACACAAAAAAAAAACAACACATTACAATCATTAAAACAATCATAAAACACATATAAACACACACACACATATATATATATATATTATATGAACCACAGAAAAACAACGTCCGTCATACATCCGCAACTTGTCCAAGGCGTCTTGATCATGAATGATCATGCTACCCTTCACGTCCGGCTTTCCTGGCGTGGTCGACTCGACCCGCTGTCCGGCCGCTCTAGACAGTCCGCGCGCGCGATGGAGCTGGACCTGGATGGTAGATGCGGATTCATCAAAACAAACAAAGCGAACATGGATGGTACAACTCATTCAAGCTTGTTCATATGGGATGTTTATTCATATGTATGGGGTGTTATTGTATGTTATATTGTATGGTCAGTCTACATGAAAGGAAACAAGTTTTTCTCCCAGAAGTCTCAAGAAACTGGCATCTACTGCCCCAACTCCCTCCTCCCTTGGTATGTGCCATCTGCCAAGCGTTGACAAGATTTGATTCTTGGGCACTCCCTCGTGCGTCCACTCCTGGCTTCCCCCCCCCCCGCTGGCGCCGTCCTATACACGCGCCCATGGTCAACACACCACACCACCGGTGCGGAGGACGGTGCTGGGAGCTAAGTGGACTGCGGTTGGCCAAGCAAAGGAGCTGAAAGGATCAAACGATCCATGAGCATAACATAACAGTTAGTCCAGTTTCTGGCAGTTTCTGGCCTCTAAATTCCAGCAGTTCTGTCCAAAATGCAGTACAGGATCATGTTATGATAACAGCCATATGACCCCCCTTCCAACAAACATTGAAAGGCTTTCACACCTTGTTTGTAGAGGAAAGTCGTTGAATTCGGCTTCAATTCATTTCTCGGGGAATTTCATACACCAGTGAATTGTGCATGTCTTTCTTCACATGTTGTCTCACGCTACGTGTCATCTCTTATCTGATGACCCGTTGTAGGAAAAAGGAATATACAAGGCGACTTGGATCTGTGCTGCATGTGTAGAGGAAGGCCGCCTTCGAATGCCCAAACACTCCATGGCTGGCATAGCTAGTATACATGTGACCATGCCTATATAGGTATATAACTATATATATATATATGATATGTTATGCATGAAGTATCTTGATGTGATGTTATATGTCATTGTCCAGTTCCATGATCAAAGGTTGAAGAACCCGAGTTCGACTATCCCAGGCCAGGGTACCCCAGGTGGCTACCGGGTCCTAGTGACCTGGTCACTTAACCTACCTCTCTTGGGGTCATTGGAGAGCAGGTTCCTTTTCTTTTTTCACCCGACCTACGGCGATCAACAAGCTGCCTACACCTTTGCCACCGAATCCAAGCTTGGCAACGGCTACACTCCCGTGGCTTCACATGGAATTAGGGCTTCAGTGGATGATTTCTGCGACCGAAGAGCAGGTCGGCATCTCCAGTTTGACTTAGTTGATCGACTAGTTACAGGTCAAAAGGACAGAATCAACCAAACCCAATAGTCCAATGCATCAGCAAAACAACATGAAACGACACCAATCTCATTGCGCCGCCTTCCTCCCTGAGCTCCGCGCGTGGAAACTCATCCATTCGATCCGAGTCCTCTGCCTGGTCCAACAAGAATTGATGAACAAAACAGGTTGGAGGCCATCGCTAGTAGGTTGCTCTCAGACCCGAGAAGTGCCAAAGGCGTCACCTTTCAAAGTAAAGGACCCTTCTTTTCGGATCATCTGGGGGTGGTGGGCTTGGACTCCCAGCTGAGATGCATCTTTCGGATTCGCTGCATGTAGTCCAACCAGCTCCGAAACGCCATTGGCACCAACGGCCAACCCGGCCCCCCCCGCGCACTCGAACGGTGCCTGAGCATGCTTCCGGGACGGACCTTGGCGAAGGAGGGCGGCTGCGCGGCCGAAGACGAGACGGCCCGGCTCCGATTCCTGGTGTTCTCAAACAGGACCCAGGACGCAGGCTGTCCCACATGAGGGTGACATGAATAGTGCTTTTGGTGAATGTACTGGTGAATGTAGGCTCCAGACGGCCGACACCCTAAAGAGGGGACCATGTAAGCTCGACATTGCCAAAACCTCAACTTTATATAGTCCAAAATAGTGCAAAACTAGGCTCTTGAAAAGGTTGCCCAGCCAAACATAGAAGGTTTAAATTTGCTCAGCTGAACATAGAAGGCTTAAAAAGGTGTTCGGCCAAATGTAGAAGGTTTAATATTGTTAGGCCATCTTGGCGCCACCATGGAGCATTTGGGATTGATTGAATGATATTTAATGCTTCGAAGTCCAAACAACCAATAAGCTACTAAGGACTTTGTAGTACATATATTATAGGTTAACCGAGCACTTTTAATGGTCATTGACGGGGTTTGGATTTGCACATTCCGCACTGGGAATAAAACATATTCCTCAGAAGGATTCCGCAGGGGATTCACGATCTAGGGAACACATGTTAAATATCACCTCACCCTACCCTAAGCATCCTCCATTGCAGGAGTCGGACCCTCCACATGTAGAAGAGGTACTAGCAAAGATCTGGACCCTCAAAACCCTTCCCATTTAAGGGCCCGGACTCTTAGGGTCCATCAAACCCCAGGATTCAGCGTGGTTCTTCGATAGGACGAGGACCCAAAGAAGACATGCCGGAATGCCGGACCCTGTATGTGGCTTCTTTTCCATGCGGCTCGTGAGGCACTCAGACGGAACCACCCGCTGGTGAAGGCACTTCTGACCCTTCCTTTCGCCCGGCGGTGACTGAGTGGACTCGTGGCGTGAACGACCGTTGCGTTCAAGGGCTGAGGCTGTGCCAACGCGGCTAAACGCCCGGGTGCGGCATCACGGTTGGGGCGGCTATCTCCAGCTTAGCTAGAGGGATGCAGGTGGTTTCCAGGAAGATGTTGCACGCATCCATGGGAAGCAAATCCTAAACCAACACACTGTTCACTGAAAGCCCTATATCATTGTGAATAATGGGCCGCCTCACATGTACAACCAATGTCTGCGAGCTATCATCCCAACATCAACCAGTTGTGTCGGTTGTGGTGCATTCCCTGGAACTAAAATGGAAATGGGGTTCACCCCCTGCTTGTATTCGGAAATTGTCTTCCAACGGGCCATCATGCCATCCCCTTCCATACTAGTTCCACGGAGTGTATGTAATCCTTTTGTCATCATGAACCTCTTTTGCACCCGAACCAGGCTTGTGGAGATTCAAGGAGGAACATCCCGCTCAATCTCTCCCTCGAAATCCAAGTACCTGTTCAGAAGATGATTGGAGACTATGTATGTAGGCTTGGAGGGCCCAAGTATCTTCTGAGAAGGTATGTGGATCCCTAGGGTCTCACTGAATGTTTCAGAAGTGCTCCTCAAATCACCCAAAAAAGACGCCCACCGCGGAGAGCCTTCACCCCGGGCGTGCAGGGGCGCTGTGTTTCAGCCAATAAAAAAAGCAGCCTCGATTGCATCTCTGTGCCAGTCGTGCAGTGAAACGACACGGCCGGCAGAGCGAGTCTGCCCTGGATCCCGCCACAGGCGGCAGCGGCAGGTTTGGCTCTGCGGACTTCGGACTTCGGGCTTCGTAGCCCCAAAAACCGATGAATGAAGTGTCATAAGGCACAAATCCATCGATTTACTACTACAAAGTGTTATTTATTTGGAGGTATCTACCAGGTTGGTCCTTGGGTTGTTGAGGTATGATCCGATGGGTTATTGAGGTATTATTAAAAAGTTGATTCTGGGTGAATAACACAAACAATCTACACCGGGGTCAAAGAGGATGGCACAACAACGATGCCCCCAAACTGGGTAGATGGAACGGAGAATGTGGAAAACAGAATGGGAGCATTCCAAAAAAAAATTGGCATTTGACGGCTTGGGAAAAGATCATATCAAGGCAAATTCGAGAGGTAGATGGCACAACTAGTTTTGGAAAATAGCGTGGATAGCCAAGCGCATATCAAAGCAAATGGGAAAGGTAGATGGCGCAATGACTACAGTTTTGAGCACACCGTGTGCCAACTAGTAAATGTACTGTATTAAACAATATGATATCATGTGTATAGTGTACAAAGTAGTGTACAGGAAAGTATGATCCGTCATGCTACAGAAAGGACGGCGGGAGGTTCTTAGTTCCAGCACACATGATTCAGCGCGCTTTGCGCCATCTATGCTGAGTTTTGCGTGATCCATCATCACCAGGATTTGCTATTTTGCAATTTGGATTGTGCCATCTACTAAGGCCTTTTTGGCTTGATATGCACAAACCTATGCTTCCTGAGCCCTCGCGGTTCTTCACTTTACGCGTGAAAGAAAAAAATCCAGCAACAAATTGTACCTTTAAATTAAAATTCCCTTTCAACTGGGTAGATGGAACGCCTTTGCCAATGCCTGCCTGCACCTGGGTAGTGCCATCTACAGATGATTTTTCCCTATTCTCACACACCTGTTCTCCAACAATAGTAGATGGCACAATTCAAAACGCCGTTCCTGAAACTTTGACCCCGGAGTATATGAAACTTGATGGACTAAAGACAAGTCGATGACCAAAACGATCTGACACATCCCAGTCATGTTGATACTCTTGGCTGTTGAAGCGGACCTGGGGACGCAATGCCGAGCTATGGACGTCAAGGACCTCACGAAGCGCTATGGACCTCATCTGCTAGGACAAATGAAAACAACCCTAACCAGCCTCTGATAGAATGTGTGCATTACCACTTGCATTACCTGCTCCAAGCAATTGGATGGAAAATTCTAGTGCTTTAAGCCATTAGGAGGCCAAAAGCGGCACGGCTTCACCAAACGGTGCATATGCCCATGCTTGGTATAGGGTGCAATGATCTAGCAAGTGGTTGGCCCCTGTATACAGCTTTTCTCATCTGGAGACTCACAAGTCCTTTTGTGCAAGATCTGTCTTCAAGGCCCAGAGCCCAGTGTCCATGGCTGCAGGTAGCCTATCTTAACAGGCCTGCAGCCGATTTTCCGGCGGATTCTCGTCCGGGCGTGGCGTGCAAAAGATTTGCCTCCTGGTTGGACTGAAGGGTTCAGGATTTTGAAGCATGCCCCAGCTTCTGCCAAAGGATCTGGTGATTCACAGGAGGCCTGGTGCTTGAATCTCGCCCATGGAACGAGCCGAATTATCTACTCCCTTGGCTGTGCAAGGTCTTTCCGAAACAAAAAAAAACTTGTGCTTCCCGGAAGTTGGAAGCTCAAGCTTGAATATATAAAGCTACGGTCCAGTCCAGTTTGTTCTCCTACATCCCTTGCTCTCTGCTATCCTTCCTCAAGGCTGAGCCACTGGGTGGTATGGATGCGGCTGCACTACAAATCCATACTACTGACTCCCTCAGATTCCTTGGAACACCCATCCCCCAGGTGATCCACTGATGGGGTAGGCACACCCTATAGGCTTCCGACCAACAGGATTTTAATGGTCTTTACTTATAGCAACCATTGTTGTACTGAGGGCACTACAAACCAAGTCAACCAGTTTAAACAACATGGTATTGGACTTCCAGGGCCTAGCTTGCAGCCAGCCCATGCCAGCCAAACTGGACCGGCTCGGCTCCTCATTAAGCCTCCAGCGCAGATTCCTGCGCAGTCGACGATTCGGTGGTTTAGACCCCCGTTCAGAGGCCCCCCCCGGTCACGGTATTTAAATGACCAAAACGACGTATCATGAGTTTACATGTTAAAAAGGAAGCTCCCCAACATCCCTCAACCGCTTGTGGTCGTCCTTCTTTTAGGACTTCAGGACGCGGGCCGGGGTCTCCCTCTCCGAAACACACTCCTTTAATATGGAATATTTACCTACATCGACCCCTGAAACCACCCCAACGTAGGTAAATATGCCTTGGGTCTATCCCATTACCAGGGTCCAGTGGATGATGATGGTTAGGTTGCCCGCCTTGTTCAAACATACGGTAGTCATAAGTTTACTGACTGTTACATACTGTTACAGGTAAGTTTGGACAACGCCAAAATATCCCAACCACTCCATGTATGCCAAATATGCCATACATTGACCCCTCAAACCACCCCAACTGATCGGCATATATGGCATACTCCAGGAGTGTCTGGGTATGTCAGTCCCGAATGTCTGGGCATCCTGGGCCATACACCAATCTCGTTCTGCAAGGGTCCGTCTGCTCGCGACCAACCCAAGCACTTCTAGAAGCTTCATCAGTCGGTCATGGAAGTTGGGACATTTTTCAAGCCAGTTACCATCGGTGAACTATGTTCCACCTGCTTATGTTCAGTGGGAAAACCATGGAAAACCAATTCCTGCAAAAACAAGGCTTAAAGGATGCTTGTTCAAGGTTGTTTTTGCACTGACTGGGTCTAGTTTGGAGCGCCACAGTCATTCCGCCTCTTCAGGCAGTCCCTTTGTCCCCTTCCCCCCCCCATCCGCCTTCTCCTTCAGCACCCTGTCGTGTCGACTGGCTTTGCTGCGAGATCTCAATAAGTTCGGAGACCGTGGGTGGCTCACCTCAGACTCCGAAGAACGAGTGCGAAGGACTCAGCGCGCAAAGAACGCGCATCGAGGTCGCGTGAGCGCGAGGAACTGTTCGCTGTTGATGGCTCGTGGAAGCAAGAGAGGTATACCTCCCTATATGCAAAGGTTAAGTGACCTTATAGGACCCTACAGGAGTAAATCTATAGGATAGTCTATAGGGTTCTTCAACCTCTGCCAGTGACCGTACTAGGACCCGGAACACGGGTCTCCCCGTCCCGTCTTTGGGGCGGTCTCACCGACAGAGGTTCGGTGTCAGGGTCGTGCCGACAGCACGGCCGAGCGCGGTCGCGCCAGGTTTCACGGTGGAATCCAAACAGCTGAACGTCTGGACCAACAGAGGTGGGTCAGACCCAACGCCCTTCGACTATCCCAGTCTACCCCAGGTGTTCCGGGTCCTATTTACGGTCACTGGCTGCCTCTGTTGGGATGGAATGAGACCTATCCCAAACTAAACACTCCATGAGGTGGAATATTTACCTACATGGACCCCCCCCACCCCTGGCCGTTTCTCGGCAGTCCTATGGCAGTCCCAAACAGGTCGTGTCCGGGTACACTGAGAGTGCCAACGTGCACGCTCCCCGGCCGACGAGGGAAACTCGACACCCTTTCTCGAGCTCCCTGCTAGGATGGGTTTAAGGGAGCATCTGTATACAGGAACCCCCGCATGGTTTTCACCACCCAATTTCCTATGGGTTTCCTGCAAGTTTTCCCACACTCCGAAACATATGCCCTAGATTTCCTGGCCCACCATTTGTTTAAACATGTGCAAACACATAAATGATTTAATTGGCTTGATCGCAAACCACCGAGCTGCTATACTAAGGGTTTTACACTACAGGTTAGCAGTGATGGTCCAAAGGAAGCCTTTTTGTAGCCGGTGCCACCAGGTTACTAACCTGGGGTACCTATATAGTATGGGATAGTCTATAGGGTCCCCTCCAAGTTGACCTGGTGCTGAAATTAGTGTAAAGTCGAAGAAAATCCTAAGGGAAGCCATATGAAGCCATGGTTCTTCAGGATTGGGCGCCAATGGAAACCATTCTGGGTGGGCAAGGACAACCTTGGGTCGATCGAGTCGGATGCGCCTTGGACTTGGGTGTGGTGGTCTCCATGGAGAGCGACATGGAACGCCCCCCACGCATCATCTCCATGAACTCCTGCGCCGCCGTACGCGCGCACTCGCGCGCGGCGGTTGGGAGGACGTAGAGCCAGCAAAGTTGAAGGCGACGGCGAAGCTCCGTGTTTTGGTTCCAATCCGATTGTGCAAGGCAAGAATCCAATACCGATACTCCATGGGACTGCCATATATATGCCGATCAGTTGGGGTGGTGCCAGGGGGGTCAATGGGGCGGCATATATGGCAGTCCCATTAGTCGTGTCTGGGATGAGAAAGACATGCCCGATCTCACCTTGCAAGTGTGAAAATTGGGAAGCCCCCCCCCTCCCAATCACGGGGCATCCCTTCATGATAGAACACATTCCCTCAAAGTCCCTTTGATAACCCGACTTCCCGACTTACCCGAACAAAAGAACATCCAGTCGAACTGGACCTCGTGGCAAAAATACCAAGCGCAGGGGGGGGTAGTCGAAAACCGTATCTTGCCGCCCGCCACCCGCCATGTCTTGGAGCCTTCATAACCATGGGGTCTAACCGTCCCGTCTTCACCCCTCCCGGACTTCGGAGAATTCTTGCGAAACCCCTCCCCCTCCTCGAAGTCGATGGAACCATCGCCGTTTTGGTCCACCTCCCGCAGCAAATCCTGGCCGCGAGGAATACCTTCCCCGTTTGGTGGTCCTTTTTTGGGCAAAGGCCGGTGAAGTGGAAGAAATGGATTCCAATTCAATGGTCAAATAGAAACATTGATACAATTAAAACAATGTCAGTTATGAATCAGTACACCCTCTATTGCCACATGTGCTCGATGTTTGATCTTGAACGCTTGATTGATCTTAGGACCTTTTGGTCTAATTGGGATCTCTTATAAAATTAGTTGCAAAGCTGATGAGACGCAGGGTGGTGCATGACCCAATGATTTGCTGAGCATTCCATCTCCAACCCTCCCAGATCTATCATCTAGCAGCTGGCACCCGTGCCCTCGTGCTGCAGCCCTGTTTGACCACACGCAGGCCAGGCCGTACGGCTGCGCCTCCGACTTGCAGCCGTCCATCACTTGCTCCACTTCACCGTTCTCCAGGATCCTTGGTGCGTACTTAGCCGATCATGATGGAACCATCCAGCAAAGGTGGGTCAGAACCCGACTGTTCGACTATCCCCGTTGGGTACCCCAGGTGACGGGTCTATATAATATAAGGTCACTGGCTACCTCTGTAGTTGGATGGTTGTCGGAATGCCAGGGGCTTAGATATCAAGTGATCCCTGGGTGTCTTACCCGCTTGAAAAGGCCCCGACCCCTTCAGAGGCTCCAAGCACATGTCCAAAGCGAAAACAACGAAGCAGCTTGAAAGGAAAGTGGAGAAACGCTTCAGACCCGGCACCCAAATCCAGCTCATACACTTTACAACCATGCACTCCGACCCCTTAAACCACCCCAACTGTAACGTAAATATGATGTCCAATCCCAAACAGGGTGTCTGGGATCCAGTTCCACGTTTGGAGGCACCTCGCCGCCAAAACGCGCTGCACTGCTGAGTGGCTGCTTGAGCTCCTCGAGCGTAATGCGTCCATCGCCGTCCTGGTCGAAGACGGCGAAGGCGGAGAAGCACACGTCCCGCTGGAGGTAGACCTTCACGTCCGAGCCGCGTGCCGCGTGGCCGGTGGCGGGAGGTGTTTGTGGAGATGCTTCTGGGGTTGAAGTGGGTACGGTTAGGTGGGCAAATGCAAGAAGGTCATAAACTTGAGCAAAGACTCGAACGACAAAACCACTAAGTTACTAAGCTTGCTCAAGCTCTTCTGCCATGACTTGACATCAAACATGTTTAACATTGAGACACCCCTGGAGAGAAACCAAAACAACATATACGCAAAACTGTCCCGAAACATTGGGCAACAAGGTAACACCTCCATAACATCTCCACATCCTTGAAGTTCTGGAGTCCACTTCTTGCAGGTGTTGCCCGGTCTGGAGTCCATCGTCTGGATGATCTTGGAATGTCTTTGGACCCCAAACCGTGCCCTGCTGCAGTGGTGCAGCAGGGCACGAGTTTGGAAAGCTGCGGCAGGCTGCAGCAGCTGCGGAAAGTGAGCCAAGGATGACAACCACTGAGGCCAGCGCTCTCTTGTCCAATGTGGCGGCCAGGAACTCCGTGTAATCCTAGGCTGAGAAGTTGCAGCTGCATCATGCTGCATCGAAACAAGCTGGGTCTTAGCTCCAAAGCTTGTAGAAACTGACTCTGCTGTGATGAAGAATCTTCAGCCGGTGCCCAATTGAGGAGAACAAACACTTTCAGCAACGAAATTGCTTGGATGCATCCTGACCTACAAAAGGTTCAGCATGGTCCAGCTATTTTCAGCAAAGTCATGCTGAATTTGCCCTTGCGCTGGTCCCAAAAGCACCGGTCCCTGCTGGATTTTGCACCGCCAACAAATGTGCCGCATGACCAGAAAAAGGGCTCAGCCCAGCGAAGTGTTTTAGAGCTCGGGGACGGCGGGCAGGCCAGGTCACACCGAACACCAAAACCACCTGGCGGAACACCAAACAAGACTCCTTTTTCACTGGAGAAACCTCGTGGGGAAATCAAAGTACCCAAAAAGAAACCCTCCCCCCAACGGCAAGAACAAAAACAACAAAATCAACCAAACTCTCAAACATCCAACGACCCCTCACTCACATCCGAGAATCTATAAGGCCACTCCCATCTGCATCAACTCCCTCTACCACGGCATCCAAATCCAGAAGGGGATGCCGCAGCTGGGCCTGGCGCAGCTGGACCCGAGGAGAAACATCGCTCTGAGAGCCATAAACCATAACCCCTGAAGTGGGATCACCATATACCATCACCCCGTCCATGTCCACCCGAGATTTAAAAAACAAACAATACTGTAAAAAACAAACACCCATCATCTCCCCCCCAACCATGTTCACCTGTTTCACCGTTCGCTCCGACTCGTTCGCTCCCATCTCCCAGTCTCACCTGCCACCTTCGCCGTCGCCACCGGCGAAACGACCGGGGCGCCTGGTCGATGCCGTCCCGGAGCTCGGTGACGGTCAGGAAGCCGTCGCCGTTGGCGTCCAAGGCCTTGAAGGTCTCACGCAGGTCCTGAGCGTCGACGTCGACCGGCGCTCGGCTGGGGATGCCCCGAAGAACTATAGGAAGAGTAGAGGAACATGTGGTCTTGAAAACTTGGTGTAGCTGTCTGTCTCTTTCTCTCTCTCTCTCTCTCTCTGTATATATACATATAAACAGATTCTGTTCAAATATATCGGAGAGCGAGCAAATGACGTACGAGCTCAATGAAATCCATTCAAAACAATTTCTATATAAATAAAATGATGTCCTGTTGATTCCTTGTTGACAGTTTGATACCATAGGGAATCATTGGGACGATCATGTACCATAGTAGAGGGGCCAGTTTGGCACCATATAAATATATCTTATGGGCAATGGGCCTATTGGAAAACACACACTTGATGGTATCCCCTCAAGTGACTCAGAGCATCAACCGGCCTTAGCCTGACAGCCATCGAGTTGGACAGAACAGGGATGCAAATCAAGGATAAGGTTAGTGGGGAAACCATTCCCCCCCATAAGAAAAGAAACTGAAGGTTATCCAGTTATCCGCTTTTCCTGGGTAGGATAAGGGGGAGACGATACAGTGAAGGGTGTTTGGGGAGACGATCCAGTGAAGGGTGTTTGACCTTCTTTTGGGTGTGTTGGTGCTCTTTTCTTCGAGGGAGTGAAGACCGGCGCGATTGAAAGCATGGAGTTCGCATCGAGTGGATGGGAGGCTGTTCTGGAGGGTTGCAATTGGTTGGACTGCATTGGTGAGAACTAGGCCATTTCTTAGCAGCAACAACAACACCACCACCAACACCACCCCCCTCAACCCCCCCTAGCCGTTTGTATAACTAGAATCACTTGTGTCACATAGGTAATTACTTCTGTTGAAGGGCTTCACGGACAACCACCAGTGCCCTGAATCATCCTGAATCATGAATCATGATCTGAATCTCAGTCAATCCAGCTGAAGGCGTGCCAAAATCGAAACAACAAATTTGCCAGAAGAAAGCAATTGACCCGAATCCCAGTGACACTACGGACGACGAGGCTGCCACCTCCTATCCCAGCTAGTGCGAGGGGCCGGACACAACAGCTCGGGAGCTACGGGGGTATCCATCCCCCATTCCTGGCCCACCATTGATTAAATGCTTTACCAAAGCACCGAGTTGTTTTACTAAGGGCTTGGCACGGTCACCAGGTCTGTCCACTTTGGATGGTCCAACGGAAGCCCATAGGGATGAGCCACCGACCACAGTTGCTCGTCGACTTCGCTTCGACCAGGTCTAAACGGACCAACCTGGTAGTCCAAAAAGTCCTTCGCAACCAAAAACGTCAGCTTCAGTCAAAAGAATTCAAAAGACATAACAAACAAAAACCAAGTCTCAAACTTCTTAATTGGTGGATGAAAAGGACTAATGACTAATCGGTGGCCCAGGATGTGGGTGCCCCGCCCGCGCTTTCCTCAAGACTGGTTTTTTCGTTGCCTCTGCCTTTTCCCCTAACGATCTCCGGGTCACGGCGATCTCCGCCTCGCTCATCTGCCCAGCGATGATGTTCAAGGCCGCCTTCTTCAACTTGTTCTTCGACCTGCCGGTGGGTCAAAACCCGACGCCCTTCGACTATCCTAGGCCAGGGTACTCCTGGTTTTCTGGGTCCTATTTACGGTCACTGGCTACCTCTATATGGTGGTGGCCCAGGCCGCCCTCCCCCCCGCCTCTGGTAACCACTGTCAACCCCGCGATCCGGATCTGTCGACCCGCCAACCAGTCCGGTCGCCACGTGCGTAAACACCACGCCCCGGATGAACCCGGAGTCAACGCCCGGATGGCCGCGGATCAACTATGATCAACTCTGCACCTTTTCAACTTCTTGGGGGATCATTTGGGCTCACCCTCCTCTCTTGTCACCCTATAAAGAAACAGCTCATGATTCCATTCCCACTCCAAACGCACAAAAGAAACACCACATCCACGGCCTAAAGCTCTTCAAGTTGTGGACGATGCGATCCTTAGATCTCCAAATCTCCCAAGAATCACTGTCCCCGAGACATGTCCGACTGGGGAAGAAACGTTGAACTGAACGAGAGAGATCACCGCTGTTTCATCCATGCATCCGTGTCCGAGAGATCGCTGTTGTCCAAGAGACCGCTAGAAATAGTCCACCTGTGTGGTATTTTAAGATATACTTTGAGAGCCTGGCAAGAAAACCAATACACAGACTTGAAGGTTGTGGGCTGCCATTGAATTGAGATGCAGTGCCTGCAGTTGATACCAAGAGCGGAGACGCTCAGGACTCGCGATATTTTGAGAGGGTTTTACCCCCAATTCCCAATAAGGTTGGGGCAAATGATCCTCTTTTCATCACTTTTTTCCGTATGAAATGATGGCAAAACACGGAGGGGAGAGTGATCGGTGGGAGATGCTGGAATTGGGAGAGTTACGGGCGTCTTTCTCATAATGACCACCATGAGCGATGCTTTGGGCACCGCGAAGTGGCACTGAGGCTGTCTGGAAGTTGCTCCGACAGGCTCGGACAGGCAAGCCCAAGCTGGTTGTAAGTGAGCAAGCCCAAGTCAGTCAAGTACAACACAAGCCATCCCAGCCCAAACCTATCAGCCTGCCAGGTGACAACAAAGTATAAACCATCCCTGCATTGCACCGAACCAGATGGCCCCCGCTAGGTCGCATTCTAAGCTAAGCTAAGCTAGATCTTGAAGCAACAGGGTACCATCAGGTGCCGTCTCTTCATCTCTTCCCACCACCTGACCCACCACTTCCAGCTAGGGCACCTGTAAGCTGATGTTCTCGGCCCGAGGTGCTCGGTCCTTGATCCAGGTGTCCTGCAAGGCTTGCTCCGCCGTATACCTCAGTGGCAGAGGTCAGAAGCGCTGAGTGATCACCTCCAGGCTACTGTGCTTGCAGTCGGAGTGATCAGGTTCTCTCGGCTGGCACCTTGCAGGATTGCCACCTGGTAGTGAACACTTACTTGGACTTGCCAAACTTGGCAGGGGTTTTGTAAACTTTAGATCTCTCCAAAATGTTCCAAGTCCCCGAAAACTGGCGTTTCTGAGCCGCACATAGCACAGGCTTGGTTGGTGAGTCTGAAGAATTAAGAAACTGGCTGATATAGAGTTCCAATTCTTGAACCTTCCACTAGGTTAACTTTGAAGCACTGAAACTTCACTATCTTAAAGGCTTCAATAGGATAAGCCTGTTGATGAATCAGGAAGTTGGTGCATTCTCAAACTCATCTCCTTCCGCTTGTTCGACGCCTGACGCTGCTTTTTCTTGGCGAGGCGCCGCTGCTCTGGCTCGAACTTCAGCAACATTCCTAGGCGAGAGCGAGTTCATCGAGGCGGTCTGAAGTCATGACCCATGCCTTATCAGGAACATTCAGGAATTCACTGATCTGGAGCCTCTTTTTCTTCGGAGGCATTGAGAGCATTCAGGTAAACTAACACAGCATGTGAATCGGCACATTGGTTCTGGACGACGCTCCAAAAAAACATGTTCAGCCTACCGCATATGTCATAGAACGGTGGGTTGATTCACAATGCATTTGACCAACTGATGGTCTCGAGGGATTGGACATCTTGTCATGAATCCTACTGAGTAAAACCCATCCACCGATGGGTTTTGGCCACCCTAATCTGCAATAAGAGGTTTCGCCCAAACAAGGCCTCGCCCAGCGAGGGAGGGGGTGCAATGTTTTTATTTTTCTCGGATCTGAGGAATCGCACAATTCTCCGGCCAAACTGATTTTTGTCAGCTCCACGTGTCCGATCAACTTCTTGGCATCTTGTGAGATGTGTCTCCAGTACTTGGGCTCAAACCTCAGCCGTGCTTGGCCGCGCACGCGCGTGAACTGGCGCTGCAAAGCAGCGGAAATCTCGGGATATTATTCTCTCAAACTAAATCCGAGGTTAAAACAAATCCACCTTTGATCCGAAGAATGCCCATCTTAGACAACTCCAGCAAGCACTGCTCCCTCTTGCTTCGACTGAAGACATTCGCACATCAATTCAGGAAGAAACTATCTGCACTCCAGGAAACTGGTAGCTTCCCTTTCTCACCTTACTGAGTACTTCTTGATCCGTCTTGCCATAGAAGGGCGGGTAGCCACCTGAGATTTGCATCGCACCAAGAACCAGGCGTTGAGCTTGGAAAGCCAAACACGGGGTGGCTGGCTAGAGGCCAGGCCAAGCGGAAAGGACAACACCTTACGGTTTGATGAGGAAGATATTGTAAATTCTTGGATTTGCTTAAAGCAAACTGGGAAAAAGCAAACATCTTCCCAGGACGGGCAGTTACCATGTATCACTCTCCTGGGGTAGATAGAAGGTGAACCAACCAACAAAATTACCAGTTTGTCTTGACATACATGCACAGACAAGAAGTTCGGTCAGTGCATTGGGCCTACAGCCTACAGGGGCTGCCGAGAGGGTCAACATCTACCACGCAAGGGGGGCCGAGAGTGGACTCAGGCAACCTCCTTTTCCACCATCCGTGTGGCTTCACTGGGCTTTGGTGTTTTCTCCCTGGAAAAGTGATGAAATACAGTAACATACATACAGTAATGACTAGGAATGAACTTGGAATGCCATTTCAGCAAACGCTTTACCCGGAGCCAGTTGTGTCTTTCTCCACCGTTATGCATGACCAGTGCTCCATTAACATGATTAAACTGAATTCATCCTGTCACAAATCCTCGCATGATAGATCTGGTTAAAAACCTCTGGATATTAAACAACAACTTTGGTGTGAGATCTCATGTCAACCGTTGATCAATAAGGCCAACACAACTGGATATGTTTGACCCGAGTTTCATTAGCCAACAGTGCCACTTCGTTTGGGCCTCCGGGTCAGGGCAACAGCTCCGGGTCAGTGGCCTCCACCCGATCCAGATCCCACCTTCGGGCTTCCTTCGTTCTACTTGACCCACCCCCCAGCCTGGAGTGGGCAAACTAGGATTCCTGTCCCACTATTCACTATAGGCTGAATCCCGTTCCCAACCATGGCTTTACTAAGATTCTGCTGAAACCAGGTCTTTCCCATTCTTTTCATGGTCGAACGGAAGAGTAGGGATGCCCCCCCGAAACCAACGGATTGGCCCAGTCTTCCTTCGTCCAGTCTTCGCGAAGACAAACAAAAAAAACCAAGCCACCGGAGTGGTCCGGGGAACGTCCCGGCCGGTCCGTGGTTCTGCCAAGGCGCACAACATAGTGTACATGATGACTCCGCAGCTCCACAAATCACAGGAACTATCATACTTACCTGGCCGATGGAGAGGGTAGCCCGTCTACGGAGCTGGGAGCCAGCTTATGATTACGGGGTATGGTTGATGGAGTTCCTCCAAGGAATTCGTTCATGCTGAAAAATGTCTGAACCAAACGTATTTCTATTGTATACTCTATAGTCATAGGAACCCAATTAGGGATGGTCATGGAAGTAGCACCCCCTTCTCCCTTGACTCTCGAACCAAACGACCTACTGGGGAAGCGATGCTTTCCAAGCAATTCATCACATCCAATGCAATCCTCATCCAGTTCTGTTTGGATTTTGGACTAACTACCAAACACCAGGTCAACCTTTCATTCTGAATGGTTGAACTTCATCATATTGTAATTTAGTTACTGAAGGTTACTGACTGATACCGACTATATGTTTCTGTCAAGGCCAAACATCACCTCATTGCAGTTGACCAGTTGGGCGCTGCCAGGCACCGGGCCCTTCCACCTGTGTGTCTTCACCTCGTCCGAGTCCGAGTCCGCGCGCGCTCGTTCGGACCTCTATAGGCTCCGCGCGCGCCGGGGGTTGCGGAGGTTCCGCACCTGAAAGCACCTGAGGAGCCACGTAGTAAGGCGTTCCAGCTTTGGTGTTCATGGGCACCTCAGCTGCGAACCGGCTGTTTCACGGTCGGTCGCGAACGGCCGTGCCGCCACGGCTGGCGGAACGAAGCCGCGAAGGGCTGCGGAGTTGGGGAGTTCCCGTGGAGGGTGGGGGAAGCATCCCTCCAAATCTGACTGGTGCTTAGTAAAGAATGAGGATGGCTGGATCCTATGGTATCTATAGTGAGGGGTCATTCTCTCATTCCCTACGAGTCGCACCAGTCAGAAATATGTTATTCAGTTTTAGGATGCCTCAGAACAGGGTTCGCCCAGTCCGGGAACCTCCAAATCACCACACCTCAGGCTGGGATCGCGAGCGAGCCACAAAGTCCCAGTCGTAGCTCGGCCTGACCCTCCTAGCTACATCAATGTGCTAAACACATCCCCTAGGGCTCCTGTCCCACCTCTTGAGGATGTGGTTGGAGCCCTAGGGATCATACCTCCCCAAGGGTGGATCCATAGAGCCTCCAGGATTTCCGAGGCTGCAAACCAAGAAAAAAAGTTGGCGACGTCGAATCTGAGGGAATCTATGCTGGGACCGGAATCCGGGTAGGGACGCTTGGATTTGCTGAAGGAATGGAGAAACATTTAAAGAGCTTTCCCGGAAGAGGATTCAGATGGATTCACCCACATGGATAATAACAATAACCTTAGGCAAACCCAGGTATCGGTATAGATGACTTGTGGCAGAAGGTGAATTTGTTGATGCAAAGGTCCTAAAGTGCACCCAAAAGAAACACAGCGCAAGACCCTTCTTGGCAAAGACATTGCCACCGCTGAAAGGATAAAATAGGGCCTGGAGTACCAAACATCCCCGTCTTCTCTTAATCATGCACTTTGGCTGTAAAATGCTGGGCTTTCCTCCACACAGTGGCTTTTAGACACATCTTTAGACCAATCCACTCGCCGCGGTTTCAATGGTCACACGTGCACTGCCAGGGCACGTCGTGGTCGAAGCATTTGGAGAGGCCAAAGTCAATGATTTTCAGGAGATTGCTGGCGATCGGACCTTTTGTCCTTGGCATCTGTCTTGAGTTCATGAAGGACACCGTTCACGAAGGACACGAACCGGCTTCCTACATCGCCAGAGCCCAACCTTCATAAGAAGAACCTTCAAACAATAAGTTCTCATACAGTCCAAACCGTGAGAACTTCGAAAATTCACCTGGTCGCCCAAGCGGGCCCTGGATCGACATGCTGAGCGTCAAGAACAGGAAGTTCTCAGGTTTAAGGTCTCGATGGCAGACCTGTGGGCCGAGCGAACGCGCTCCCGGCCGACGGGTTTCTGGGTTTCTTCTGCGTTTTCGGCCGAAGGTCCTCTGCCCGAAGCGTCCCGTCTCCAAAGCCGGGGTTTGGCTGAAGGAAATAGGAGAAACAAACATTTGCCAAAAGGGGGCTCAGCTGTTAAGTTGCTTGAGTTTAGTGCTTTTGCTCGCAAGAAGTGTTTTGCACCAATGTTATTTGGAAAAAATGAAAGAAGTGTTTTGGTGTTTCCGTGGCCAAGTCTTAAAACACTTGCACAACCAATAACCATTCGACCCTTCTTCTCACCCTCAATACCCTGAAACACTACAGCCATCAGTCACAAATTCCCAAAGCGCAAGCACCAAATGCCGTTTTTTTAACAAAAAATGCAAGCAGTCTCACTAATCCAAAGATCAGCTCTTCTTGAACAGCTTTCGCAGGTCTTCAAACAAACTTCCTACAAAGTGTTTACAAAGTTTTGGATCTTTACAAAAACTTGACAAAGTTTTGGAATTACAATTTTTTACCGAGTTTTTGCATTACAAAGTTTTAACAAAGTCTACAAAGTTTAAAGATAGAAATAACAAACTTCACAAAGTTTTTGGACACTTACAGTACATTGAATTTTACAAAACTTTGGAACTACGAAGTTTTTACAAGGTATTGAACCTTTAGATATCTGAACAAAGCTTTGGACATTTATCAAGCTTTGAACAAGTTTTGGAATTTTACAAAGTTGTTACCAAGTTATTGAGTTTGAAAGTGTTTACAAAGTTTTTACAAAAGTTTTTGATGCTTACAAACTTTCTACAAAGTTTCGGTTTTTTCAATCTGTGTCAAAACTTTGTAAACTTTACTATTTGAAAACTTTGCAAAACGTTGTAAACTTTGTAAGAACTTTGTAAATACTTTGTAAACTTTGTAAAAGCTGTGTAAGCTTTGTAGAAACTTTGGTGAAATTCTAAAACTTTGTAAACTTTCAAAACTCTGCAACAACTGTGTAAAGATTGAACAAATTTTGCAAACTTTGTCAAAACTTCGTAAACTGTTGTTAAAATTGTAAACTTTTTAAACACTGAAACACTTTAAACTTCGTAAACCTTTGTAAAAACTTTGTACACTTTGTAAAACTGTGTAAAAAACTGCGAAAACTTTGTGTAAAAAATTGTAAAATGCGAAAACTTTGTCAAAACTTTGTAAAACACTTGTAAACTTTGTCGAAACTTTGTGAACTTTGTCAAAAAGTTTGTAAACATTGCAAACTTTGTACACTTTGTACTAACATTTTGTAAACTTTGTAAGAAATTTTTAGATGTTGTAGGCCTTCGTAAACTCTATTTTAAAAAAAGATCGTTATAAACTTCGTAGCACTTTGCAAACTTTGTAAAACGTTTTTAAACTTCGTAAACTTTGTCAAAGCATTGTAAACATTTTGAAAGACCTTGTGAACGTTGTGAAAACTTTGTAAACTTTGAACACTTTGTAAATTTCCTCAAAACTTTGTACAAATTGTGAAACTGTACAAACTTTATAAAAACTTTGTAAAATGTAGAAAGAAACTTTGTAAACTTTGCAAATAAATAAACTATCAAAACTGTGTAATTGTTGTCAAAACTTTGTAAACTTTGTCGAAACTCTGTAAACTTTGCAAAACTTCGTAAACTTGGCAAAATCTTTGTGAACTTTCCAAAATCTTCAAAACTTTGTAAACTTTGTAAAAACTTTGTAAATTTGTGTAACAAAAGGCAAATGTCGCAAACTTTGTCAGAACGTTGTAAACTTTGTAAAAACTTTGTAAACTTTGTAAAAACTGTGTAAACTATGTAAACTTTGTAAAAACTTTGTAAAACTTTGTAAAGTTCTGTGAAAGAAGTGTTTTTGCACGTTTTTTTAATTGAAAAGAAGTGTTTTTCATGTCATTTGTTGTAAACATAAGTGTTTTTCACCAGCCATTTGCAAACTTTGTAAAAACTTTGTAAACTTTGTAAAAACTTTGTAAACTTTGTAAAAACTTTGTAAACTTCGTAAAAAACTTTGCAAACTTGAAAACTTTTGTAAACTTTGTAAAAACTTTGTAAAAACTTTGTAAACTTTGTAAAAACTTTGTAAAAACTTTGTAAACTTTGTAAAAACTTTGTAAAAACCTTGTAAACTGTGTAAAAACTTTGTAAACTTTGTAAAAACCTTGTAAACTGTGTAAAAACTTTGTAAACTTTGTAAAAACCTTGTAAACTTTGTAAAAACTTTGTAAACTTGAAAAAGCTGTTGTAAACTTTGTAAAAACGTTGTACAACTTTGTAAACTTTGTAAAAACTTTGAAAACTTTGTAAACAGTTTGTGAGACTTTGTAGACTCTGTAAAAATTGAAAAACTGTGAAAATTCCGAACTTTGCAAGAACTTTGTCAAATTCCAAAGCTTTCTAAAATCGTTGTAAACTTTCAATGCTGTGCAAAAACTCTGTAAACTGTATAAACTTTGCAACTTTTGTGAAAGCTTTGTAAACTATGTAAAGTTTGCAAATGTTTGTACACTTTGAAAAAACTCCATGTAAAATTGTAAAAATTGCAATCTTTGTAAAGATTTTATAAACTTTGTACAAGCTTTGTAAACTTTCAAAACTTTGCAAAACTGTGTAAACTTTGTAAACACTTTGTCAACATTGCAGCAACATTGTAAAACTTTCAATACGTCTTTAATTGATTTTTTAATGGTAAAACCTTTGTAAACTGGGTAAACTTTGGAAATTGTTCAAAACTTTGTAAACTGTGTTAAAATATTGTAAACTTTGTAAAACTTTGTAAAACTTGGTAAACGGTTGTAAAACTTTCAAAACTTTGCAAACTTCATAAAATCTGTGTAAAACTTTGTAAACTTTGTACCAACTTTGAAAGCTTTGTAAAAACGTAGTGAACTTGGTATAAACTTGGTAAACTTTGTCAACACTTTGTAAACTTTGTAAAACATTTTTAAACTTTGTCAAACTTTGTAAGCTTTGTCAACCTTTAAACTTGTAAAACTGTGTAAGAACTTGGTAAAACTTTATTAAGACGTTGTAAAATTTGCAAACTTTGTAAAAAGGTTTACAAACCTTTTACGAAGTTTTGGAGTTCTTCAAATTATTCTTCAAAGTTAGAGCAACGTTTTACACAGTTTTTAGAACGTTTACAAAGTTTTGTATTTTTACAAAGTTATACAAAGTTTACAAAACTTTCACAAAGTCTTAAGAATTTGTACAAAGTTTGCAACTTTTGCAAAGAGTTGACAGAGTTGTTGAATTACAAACAAACTTACAAAGGTTTACAACGTCTACAAAGCTTTTACCATGGCCGTTCACTCACCACTCACGAGACAAACAAACCTATGAAATAGTCCTTTGGGTCTCGTATGTTGCCACTAACAACGCAAAAAAAACAAGACGTGTTTTATACCCTCTCTTAGTTCTGAACAACCAATTCTTCAGAGGTCCGCAAGGGTCAAAAACACTTCTTCTGCGCTAATTCCCCCGAAACAACGAACGACGGTCCCCAAGCAACTTAACAGGCTCAGCCACAGGGAAAGAATCACCCTATAAGATCTATAAGTAACACCATGGAAGCATTACACTCTGACCCCAAAGTCACAGTACTTCAGACTTTGACCAGGAAGTGCATTGGCAGGGTATTATCAGTTATAATGCACTCCCTGAAATAATCAAGTGGACAAGTTTCAGGGAGGGCAACTCTTATCGGCCATTCCACCAACCCTTCTCATCTTCAAGATTTCCAGCGGCAACGCACATCTCCAGCACTTGCAAAAAGTTTCTAATTACCAGCAGTCACATGTCGGGGTTGTGTAGCTCGTCCCATCCAGTGAGTGGATGTGACAGGGGCACCCCGACTACCTCCATGGAGTCCGCACCCCGTTCCTCACGTGACTGCTGGATATCAGTGACGTCAGAGGTTCGATGGCACGTTTCCCCCAAGATGTCCACCGACAAATGGGGGTCCATATCAACCACCGAGGTTCGATGGCAGCCACTTGTGCCATCAACTCTGTCGGCCCCACTGTAAAGCCACTCAACCGTGCCCCCCTTTCCTTCCCCGCTTTCCGTCAAAAATGGACCGTGGAACACAGGCAGGTGAATCCCCAGACTACGCCCAGACGAAAAAATACGGGAACCCTTCGCATTCGGGTGAACGGGAAAAAACGGCTTTTGATTTGCTGAATTGAAGGAACCGGGAGGAACAACAACACATACACCATCACCATGCCTGGAGATTCATCCACGGAGTCATTTCATCACCATCACCATTTCCATCACCGGAAATCCCACGCTTACGCAGCGCGGCGCCTGCCGCTTGTGCATGTAGAAGACGGCGGAGAGCATCTGCTGCACCGTGATGGCCGCATCACGTTCCGTGAACTGCCCCACTTCGATGATGCGATCCTGAGCGGGCCAGGTCTTGTCCAAGCCAGGTCGGGGTGCGCAGGATGCAGCCAAAACAAGTAACACCATAAAATCTATGGAACATTCTACGGGAAATCCATTGGTTCATGCTTGATCGCATGCTTTTTTTCATGCTAAGAATTTGGGGTCATACAAATTTGATCAACTTTGACAATTCATTGAATTCATGCACTCATTAATTCAACGCAATGACCGGTCAGGGACTGGTAATATGTCAATCAGGCCGGTAGTTGAAAAGAAATCAATGGCTGGCATATAGGATCTATCCCAAGCCTGGCATATAATCTTAATCCTCAGTCCCAAACAGCATGGTCCCTGTAGTCCTTGGACCAAACAGCGTGGTTGTTTTTCTCAAAGGCCGGGCGCCAAGGTTCGAAAAGCTCGCCACCAGTACAAAGCTCCATGGCCAGGTAGATGTGCTTTCGATCCTCGAAGGTCTCATAGAGCCTAGGCGGTCGGACGGAGCAGCGCGGAGCTGACGGAGGGGCCCATATGGCTCAGTGGGATGCCGCGAAGGAAGGTCGAACTCGTGCAGGAAAACAGAGCGAGACTGGGTGGTGTGGCTCGTCCCATCCAGGGGCTGTGGATGTGACAGGAGCACCCCGACTTCCTTCATGGATAGCACCCCACATGGTGACTGCTGGCACATGTTTGAGGGCTTTCAGGGGCTCAAAGAAGGGCAGCCATCATCAGCCATCCATGTTCAATAGGACTTAGCCCTGTTCATTAGGAGTCCAAGTTTGGTAGTAAATCCCTCTCCCCACCAAAGGCTCCATGCCAGCAACACCGCTCGGAGAGTGGTGACCCAAGTGACCAAATTGCAATGGGCCGCCCAGGCTAGGTGTTCACAAATCACCCAAACCAGTGGGGTCCTACTACTTCACACATCAACAACCTAGGTGTTCACAGGTGAAACCCCTAGGCAGCCTATGCACACTCTCTTAAGCCATGTCTCTGCCCCAAAACCTGCAGTTCAAGCCTAGGGTGTTACCAGGTGCTCTCCTGCTCCACTCGTACGACACTTCAGCGGCCATTGGAACCCCAAACTCCGGAGGCTGGCCCTGTCTCATTCACTCACGGACTGGAAGAGTCCACCTAGGCTGTGACCTACATCGGGTCATCTACCAGGACCCTCCGACCCTCGGGGTGCCCTGTCTGGAAGCCCAACTAGTCTAGTGTGGGGTAGTCCAGCCAGGACACCCCGAGGATCGGAGGGTCCAGGTACACATGGAGTAAATGCTTGCAATTATGACATGGCTGTCGGCTGTCACAGGTCTGTTTCTCGCTATTTCGATCCAGGATCGATCCATGAACAATTCTCGCCCAATGGATCTCTCCGTCACTTTTTGGGCGAGGCTCCACCCGAGCCTTCGTGTAGGAGCAAAGCCACTTGGATCTGTAGGGGATGAGTATTGACCATGGAAACATTTGCCTGTGGGTCATGGGCTCGCTCCTCGTCCCCATGTCCCTTGTGGGCGAGGAGCTTAATGATATTTGGATGGTCCATGGACTTCATGATCGCCTTGCAGCTTGGAAAGACGTGATGCGCGGAGAAGATGGAGGAAAATTGGCGGAGAAAAGAAGGAACGACTTGAAAACCAGCAGGTGGATGGATCGAAGAACTCTTGTTATAAAGCTGAGAGTGAGATCAATGAATTCGTTCAGACGGGCCGCAGGTGGCAAGCACCCTCAGTCAGAAATGATGTTGCCTTCGCCAAGCACTCCATGAAACATGGCTTGCACCTTTCCTAGCCTTCCAAGGTCATGAAAGAAAGGTTGACCGAAAGAAAGGTTGACCTAGTGGACTTTATCGCCTAAGATCCTTAGTCTAAGTACAAGAGCTCACTTCTTCGGTTCTGCTGGGCATTGACCGCACGAATGTCACCCAAACATGTCGAAACGTATCGATCTACAAAGATCTGGGCAGCAGCACCTGGGACTGGTCAAACAGCCCAAACACGACCTGTCTGGGACTGGAATAGTTACCTACATGGGTGGGTCATTTTCATGGGGCAACTGGTATTGACATTGAGAGGGGGGACACATACACACGCACACACACCCAATTCGACAAGCAATCTCCGCATGAAGTCGCATGCGACTTACTTTCTGGCTCTCATGAGGTCGGTGAATTGCCTATAGGATTCCTGGCCTGATTTCATAAGCTGGTCATCCCGAACCACCGAGGAGAACCGAGTTCTTTTGGGGTTTACCGTTCTGTCCCGAACAAAACTGCAGGTCTGTCTCCGAACTGGTCCTGGAAGCCTTGGCCCTAGGCTTCCAACAACCATTAATTTAATAGGCTTTATGGAATCAACTAAGGATTTTACACTACAAAAAACCAGGTCAACCATTTTTTAAATGGTCTTGGAAGTCTAGGGTTGGGATTTAGATGGATTTAGGGTATAGCGTCGCCCAGGATGGTCCAGGTGACTGGTCGGTCGTGGACAGGTCTGGTCGTCCATCCCATTGCGTGCCAAAAGGCGATCTCCTGCTGGAAACGGACCACGTGCTTCCTTAAGGTCGTCAGATCAGAAACGTTCAGAAACCCTCGGGCTTGGAGTGGGCCAGGCCTACTTTTGATGGAAACCACGGAACACCTGCAAGGAAAACAACAAAACGCAACTCATGCCAGCCAGCACCTTCCAAGGGGTCTCCAATGGACTACCCTACTACATGATCTCCGGATCTCCATTGAGCACCCCGAAGTGAAGGTCCAGGTAGGCTGCATGAACCATAGGGAACCTTACTAAGTGAAGCTGCACAGGCTTCAGTGTGTCTGGGTCATGAGCTTGCCTCCTGAGATCTTCTGCTAAGGGTTTGAGCAAACTAGGGGTTCTGTAGTAAATCCCTTTAAACATGAACAAATTCCAGGGGTCGATAATATAGTTGCTCGTCTAAGAGTACTACCTCCAAGGAGGGGCACAATATCCAACTCTCGCCCAAGTCCGAGCATCATATTTGCCTTGGACATCGTCTTGATGGCTCGCTGCGCTTTGGTGCTGTTGTGCACGCCAATGGCCACGGAACCTCGAGAAACCACCCGCGGGGACACAGCCAGCTCCCACGCTGTGAGCCATATGGAGTGCCGGAGAAAAAAACATAAGGCCCTAGGCTTCCAACAACCATTGAAGGCTAGGGAATGGCTTTAGTACAGTAAATTGAAAATTGTGGGAACATGTGGCTACATCCCCCTGAGAACAAGAAAGCACCACCAACAAGAAAGACATGTTGGAAAATACTCATTGATTGCATGAAATTCATCATACTATGACCAATATATTACGACCTACGTATTGCGGCAATATATAGATTCTGGCAAGAAAATGGTGTTGTGTAATTACCTCTACAAACCCAGCCCCCGCCAAGAGCGCACGCAACTTGGTCACAGAAACATTCCCAAAATTTGCCCAAGTCACCACAAATAGCTAAATAGCATCATCAGCAATTGGCTGAGTTGAGGTACCCGCGTGCAGTAACAATTCCAAGATTCAGAGCAGGCGCCTCAAAAAAACTCACTTTGACTATCTTTGGCTTGCTTAACGGAGCCAGGAATCTTTTCCATGAAGAGACTTCACCCACATGGCAAATGATTGAATTTGTTCACACCCGATCCACAAAACCCTCCATGGAAATTCCATGCTTCCTGCGCTCCATCGCTCTGCGCTCCAAGCCGAAAGCCGTGAAAAAGGCTCCTTTCTACCAAGCCCTGAGTCCAAAGATTCATGAGAAAAGGGATCCCCAAACTTCCGATGCTTCCTGATGCATCATGCTTCCTTGGCCGCTCTTGGACGGCCCCTTTCCCTACCTTAATGAGGTGATCAACTCATCACATTGGCCTCTTGTGGGCTAGGAGGAAAGCATTCTCTGGACTTCCAGGTTTGGGTCACTGCTTTCTTCGGCCTGGGCCTGCCGTTGACCTGGATTGGTTAATCGAAACTCCGTGGCGTTTTCCAGTCTCTAAACCAATGGGTTCGCCAAGTGGCCATAGGTGCCTTCGCCAATCTTGGAGCCCTGCAAGGTGTACATCGTTTGGATGTCCCCAGCATGGCTCCTCAGTGGCGTTCGACGACGGAGGACAGGGGCGCACGGAGGAGGAGAAGGAGGAGGCGGAGGAGTCGAGGAGAAGGTGCGAGGTCAGTGTTCTTCAACGCGGTGACTTTTATATACCCTATATAGAACGACCTTTGATTTAAAGGGTCTGACCGAGCAACCATTGTTTTGCTGAGGATTTCACTCTACGAATCCAAACCAACCTCTTTTTAGTGGTCGTGGAAGGCTAGATAGGGTACACTTAATGAGATTGCCTTCGTCAATCTCAGATTGTGCCTCAAGCAAACCCAAGGCAAGTGACTCACTATATATAATTTCTTCCGCGACCTGACTGGGAAAACCAGCACCTTCCGAACTCGACGTCCCCCGGAATGCCCAGCTTTCCCACGAAGAAGCACATGGATTTCGACACAACGGAGGTGTGAAGGAGTTCACAAGCCTTCATTCAACACCTGCACAATAATGGATCTCCCTCAGTGTCCCTTGAAAAAAAGGGGTCCACGTAGACTCAGACAGCGGCATTGTTGCAAGGGAATCAGGTCGACAGAAACGAACGAAACAAAATGTACATGGTGGCATGCAAACCAAAACTAATTACACACACCAGCGTCAAACTCGAAGCTCCAAGTCTTAAGAGGCGTGCCCCAATCCCCCCAAAAAAGTTGGGCAGGTTATCCACTTTTCCTGGGTAGGGAAGGTCCAGGTCCAGGTGTTTCCCGAACGCCTTTGCCGATCCAAGTTGCAAGATGAGTTGACTTCTGGTGATGCTCTCTGCCTTCATTGGCGTCCTGCCCTCCTCAGTTCAAAGCTGAGCATTCAAGGCCACGGGCTCAAACACCTTGAACATTCTCCAGTCGAGCGAAAAGCCAGTGACAAGTCATTGCTTAGATCTTTGATGATTTTTGAAAAGCACCACTCTCAGGAACAAGAAGAAACTACTCAAAAGAATGTAACAAAGTTCCACTCTTGGCTTCAAACTTCCCTGCAGTCTCATGAGAAACCTCCCGCAATCAAAACAAACCTGACCTGATCTTCATCTGTTTCACCGCCGAGTCTCGTCGCAGGGATAGGTATGTGATGCAGGCTGCTTGTGAGCCGGTTCGTGAACGATCACTTGCCCTTTCAGGTCATGCTTTCCTGCGAGCACCAAAGAAGTTAGGACTCCGGACCACGCGAAGCGAAACGTACCCAAACACTCCATGGGACTCCTATGGCAAGACTGCCGATCAGGCCAGGGGTGGTGCCAGGGGGGGTCAATGGGGCGGCATCTATGGCAGTCCAATGCAGTCCCATTAGTCGTGTCTGGGGTATGTAAAACCCCAGTTACTACCCCAGTTTCATCGCTCTCAACCGAACGGGAAGAACTCTCAACCGGGCCTGGCCGGTTCCTTCCAAACAAGTCGGCAAACTGATGATTCAATTGCTGATTATTATGTACTGTATATAATAAGAACATGATATGCATGTCCCCTGTGCTTCATGACTTGGAAAACACTCCCTCCGCGCACAAAGACCATGTCCCAATGCAGGACATAGGGGTCTCAAACGTGAACCCCCACATGAGAGGTGTCTCAATCGGCCGCGCGGGGTGGGGAGGTTGAACTTGATCAACTCGTGAGCCTTCTTGGATGTGATCTTGTCTTGAAGCTATTCACTTGGTCTTAGCACATGTAAAAAGCTGCAAAGTGCCTTAGGTTTGGGGATGTCTTTGGGGAGTGGTGTGACTCCGTTTGGCACTGGATTGTTCTGTATATCCCAACAGCCCGGCATCTCCTGCACAAAGCCCCATGAGGTTCTTCTGTAGGCCGCGCTCTTGTGTCGCAGGGCCAGTTGCTCGCGCGCGTTTGGGTCGCGGTTCTGGAGCCAACAGCTTGGATCACACAACATGATCAAACAACTTGTGCCATTGACACTCTTCAAAGACTCACTGTTGATCCTTTTTGGAGGCCCTGGTTAAGATTATCTTATATACCGCTGAGAAAGGTCAAGCTCTACCAAGTGCCACCCGGGTCATGAAGATTATATAGTATTGATCAAGACCCCACTCGGGGTCTAGCGACGGTACACTGGGTTGGACAAATTTGCAAAACACCTTTGGTCAGTCCACTGGCATCACAGAAGCAGGGCTCTGTCACAAGCCTTGATGTACATATACCACCCTCTTCAGAACTCTGGGCCCCAATATGCTTAAATCCCCAAGATAATTTTTGGTCACAGTTTACGCCGGTATTGTGGTGGCATCTCCTAGTCAAGCCATGTCAGCCTCAAGAAACTGAGCAGTCCCAAGACACCTGCCTGGGCAGCCTGGGCAGCATGTGCTTGGTTTAGCCGACCTTTCATCGACCATGCACTGCGAGTAGCATGAGCCTAAGGATTAAGGGCTTAAGACCTAAGATAGCATGTTCTGGATGTTGCTTCAGTCCCGTACCACCTCCGACACCTCGCAGCCTATATCTTTACCAAGTCCACACGCAACAGAGGAACCCACCAGCCACTCTGGGCATCCCTGGCTCGGCATCTCCGCGCGTAGTTGCTCCACCAAATCCTTAGCGACCAAGCGGCCACATCTGCACCGTAGAAGTCCAAGGACTAAGCTTTTGCCTAAGTGATCCTGAGTGAAGTAAGGAAGTTCCCTTTAAAAACTTCTACCAGGACCCTCCTGTAGGGGTGCCCTGTCTGGAAGCCTATAGGTAGAGTGGGGTAGTCCAGCCAGGACACCCCGACAGGAGGGTCCAGGTAGTCAAAGTCTTTGAATAAATAGTCTTTGAGTCTTTGACTCCCCGGGTATATATTTTGTCAGCCTACCGAGAGGTACCGAGAGTCGGTGACACTTCCGGTCCATGTTGTTTTTGGCCAATTCCATCGAAGGTATTTCTGTAGATGGTGTTCAATCTTGTCAGGCAACAAAAACAGTGAGCAAAATGAGATTTCAGGATAAAACAGCTGAGAGGCTGTTTAACAGGCTTCCTGCAGCCCCCCTTTGCAGGTGTTGAAAGTGATGACTTCCTCTCAAGGGGTGCCTGTTTGTTTATTACTGTTTTTGGGGTCCAAGAAGGATGCACAACGCGTACTTAGCCAATAAGGCATTGAGATCCATCCATTGAGGAGGTCCTGACGAAGTCATGATCCACCAAACCAATCGCCCCCCAAACCAAACCAATCCCCACTCAGGTCTCCACCCAGGTCGACTGCAGTGTTTGCAGGTCGTCCTGATCTGCTAACCTGGGCCGATCTCCGCCCACGTGGTGCCGATCGCCCGGTGCTGCGAGCAAAACCGCGGATCAGGAGGGTGGGACCTGAGCTCCAAGGCCCTGACCCCCACTGAGCCATGGGCGCTGCAAAAGCCAGGTATCCCCTAGGGATCCAGTCATACCTTTTCAGGTGATTGGAGACTATGTAGGCTTGGAGGGCCCAGTCGTATCTTCTGAGGTTTGGTATGTGGATCCCTAGGGTCTAGAGACCTTCGAATCCTCCCAGAGGATGGGGGCACGCGATCCACGGACTTCGGGTCTCGATGCACTGGCCATGACGGTCGAAAGCCTTCAGTGCCTGGCCGTGATCAACTGTGGGGTGCTCTTCAGCTGAAAGGAAAAGGGGTGAGAAGATGGTTCAGCTCACAAGCACTTCTCCAAACACTCCCAAGAGAGAGGGCGTCCAAAAGCCTGAATGCATCTTGATTCTTACAGACCATACTCAGGTCGTTACATACAGGTACACTGCGACAAACACATCACATGGAACGATGGAAGTGGAAAACCACCCCGCTGGTAAACTGTGATTTGCTTCAAGAGCGGGGGATTCATATACCTGGATCACTACCTGGATCTTCCTCTGTGACAAATTTCTGCCGTTTGGATCCGTTTGGCAGTTGTTTATGAAGTTTATGCACGAAAAGGCGGACATTGTGTCACAGTTGGAAGATCCAGGTATAAAAATCACCCTAAGCGAAAGCCTGGTAAAGGAAAGTCCGTCTTCCAAGAGTACGGTCCATTCACTTCCATGTGAGGAAGTCGGTGCTTGGATGTGTCACCATGTGCCCAAACACGACCGGTACGGACTAGCAGTCCGGACTACCTGGGCGGATGGGGATGCACCCAAATTGGGAAACAATCCACTCACTCCCGACTGAGTGCCCCCCCCCCAAAACACCTTAATTTTAATGTCAGCCGCGACCTGATAGACTTTAAGCGACCCTATTGAAGCATGGTTGACCAGTTCAAAAGGGGAGCCAATTGGAGGGTAGGCCTGTCCCCCTGGAAGAGTTCAATCAAGTTGTCTGGCATCACGAAAAAACAGGAGAAAACACCACGCCGCCAACATATGCGGTGTGTGCACCAGATCTGCCTTCACTGCACTAAAACACCAAATGTCGGCCATAGTTGCGTAATGTTGCGTACATGGGGCATCTGGCAGAGCAAAAAACCCAAATATCTGAGCCTAATTACAAAAAAAAAAACCACGAACCCAGCACCACCCGGTTCGGGGCGGTTATTCGATGGAACATGCATCTTCCCCAAAAAAACCACCCGACCGACCTGGGTGGTGCTGGTCAGTTCATGTAGCTGTCGTTGTTCAACGGAGTCGGTCGGTGTCAAGAACACCGTCCTATGCGGTGAACGTCCTCCATGCCTCACACGTCCCAGCTGATCAGCTCGCCAGCTCAGCTCAGCCGACCCAAATGGCTTTTTTGGATGAACTGCTCCACCTCACTTTCAAGTCTTTGCATCACTCTAAGAATCTAGGTGCATTCAGGGCGGCCCCCAGGCAAGCATACTCTGGGATTTTGGCAACTGTGAAGCCGAAGTCTGTGAAGATTTACACTGCTGACTATATAGGTAAAAACTACTCCTATAGTGGTGATCCATTTTCATCAGCTCTCATGGGGCCACCCATTCGTCTTTCCTCCATGCAAGCTGTGCATTGAACCCGCGCGCACGGGTCAACCCGTAGCCACGACGCAAGAGACAGCCGCCACCGGTGCGCACGGCACGGCGCCGTGAGGGCCGTGAGGTGGCTAGGCATAGACATAGCCGTTGAAGAACGCACTGGCCGCTCGGCTCACATCACCTTGGCATCGGCTCAGTAGACCTGAGCCCATCGCGGAACGGAATGGCACGAAACGCGGCTCCATGGGACATCACTTAGGGTGGTTGACCTAGGGCAGATGGGACAGGCATTTGCTTTGCCATAGTATGAAGTGCCTGAGGTATGGAGTACACTGTGGTATAGAGTATACTGGTTCAATGACCGGAACTCGATGAATATGCCAATTTTATGGGATGTTCTGGGCATTTGTCTTCTCTGGTCCAGTGGCCCCAAAGTCTTGTCCCAGTTGGATCAAAACCAACACCCATCCTGCCCCCCCGTTGGTACATGTTGGTACTCAAAATGCTTCGACTTGGTTGACTCGGTTCCTGGAACCTGCAAACTCACCACCACAGAGTAAAACCAAAACCCATCCCCCAAAAAAAGGTTCGGAACACCACTTGAAGACCGCTCGACCGTCCACTTCCACTTCACTCGGAGCGTGCTCCCCTCCTGCACCCCACGAAGAAAAGAGGTAGCAAGGGAGGTAGCTTAGCAAGTGACTGTAAATAGTCACCTGGGATACCGAACTGGGAGAGTCGAACAGTTGGGTTCTGACCCACCTCGGAAGGGCCTCCACACTTCCCGGCCGAAGCGCCCGAGAGCGTTTCCTCGGAGGGTTTGGGGCCCACCTTCCGTCGAAGCCGCCTCAGGGCATCCTCGGTGACCGCCATGGGTTGGGAACCAGCACGGAGTTGAAGAACAATCCGCGGTGAAAGCCGACTTAACCCTGGAAGTCCAAGTAAGACTAGGGTTAAAAAATGGGAACGATCTGGTGACTTGCATAAAACCCTTAGTGAAACAGCTCGGTGGTTCGGGATGACCCGGCCATTAAAACGGTGGGCCACGACTTCTAGGGGACTGTACAGGTTAAGTGACCCCAGGTGAATCCCGCAGGTTTTACCAGGTCCTATTTATAAACGGTCACTTCACAATGCTGACGAAGGGCGCCCAGGCCCGTCTCGACTGGAACCAAAGCCGTCCCTAAGGCCTGATGGATCACCGAACTTTCCATGAAACCCCCAATCCATTAGTGGATGATGGTTAGTAGAGGCCTTGTCCAAAAATAGTGATACCGTAATTGTTTACTGACTGTTACAGGTATTAGGACAAACCCAACCAATCCTTTCGTTCGGGTTTGGGTAGCTGATCCAGGGACTTCCTGGGTAGGTCATCGGAAAAGTCAACGATCGAAACATCTCACAAATGGTTGTTCCGTGGCTACCGGTGACGTTCTCCACTTGAATGGTCTTCATTCAAAGCACCATAGGTGGCGCAAAAAGAGGGTGGTTTTCATTCATTGTTGAAGCTTGTGACCAAAACAACAGCGCATAACGCTCTTCCAGGTGAAGCATATGAGACACATCCGAAGTGGTTGTAGATCTCATCTCTTATCGGATTCAAGGTTTTGGAAGATCAGTGAGCCACAAGCTGCATTCCACACTTTGCCTCTTGAATCTGCATCGTAAATCTGAGAGGGTGATGGTGATTCAGGACTTGCCTCTCGCGCCATCTCCTTCGAGGTTGAAAACCCTCGGTGGTTTCGTAGAACATAGATCCCCTACCCATACACTCCATGGGACTGGCATATATGCCGCCCCATTGACCCCCAAAACCACCCCAACTGATCGGCAGTCCTATGCCAGTCACGTCAACAGCTTGGGTTCTGCTGGTCACTGTGGCGGCGCGGACCGACGAGCCTAAGCCTAGGCAGCAAAAAGCCCTGAAATGGACGAACAAACCTCGGCATGGACAGAATAGCTGTATATCCCATTCCGTGGATGATGGCTAGATTGCAGTCCTATCTTTGATCGACTGTTGCAGGTCATGGGACACACCCAAACTTGAGTCTCCCCCATGTCTCAGTCCCTGAAAATCGAGTCGCGGCCCTTTGTTGCTTGGCCATCTCTGCTTGTCTCTGCTCTGCTAAGGCCCGCATCTGCTCCCTTAAGGACCTCTTCGATTCGGATGTGTCGGCATCTCTCCCATCCTGAGGCCGTCGTGTGTAGAAAGGCTTCCACACATGAACCCAGTGGATGCAAGGAATGCAAGTTCATGGGTGGAAGTTCCTCTCCTACCTATAGGTGGACTTCTTAATGTCCATGGAGAATAGGTCGGCCTTTTTCCACCTATGGGATTTGAGTGGGATGCCCGCATCCTCTGGGTAGGTTAAGGTGCACATAAAACCACACTCATATGTGGAACCAAGGTGGTTAGGTTTGCATGCCTTTCTCCCCTTTTTCTCACCAAAAGACACACGATGAACATCCTTTACTGACGGCGATGCCGGTTCACTGGGACACGCCCTACCTACAGAGGTTAAGTGACCTTATAGGACCCTACAGGGGTACCTATAGGATAGTCTATAGGGTTCTTCAACCTCTGCTGGTGTAGATCTTGGGCCTATCCTAGAACCAGGGCCCAGTGGATGATGCTTAGATGGCAGGCCTTGCTCCAACAGAGTGAGAAGACCTTTTACCGGCTTCAAACCATTCATTTTAATAGGCTGAATCCCGAATCAACTGAGGATGTTACACTACAGTAGGCGGTCAACCATTTTCTCATTTGGCCTTGGAAGTCTAGGGTTTACCGACTGTTACAGGTAAATTGAACCCTGCCACCAAATCGTGCTTCAATGGCGGCCGCCAGGCCTTGATTGACTTGATTCGCAAAAACAAGACCTGGGGCTATTGGGGACCTGTTGGTCTTGAGGAAACGGATTGGTTAAAGGGAACATCCACAGGACAGCCCATGGTTTGGAGGCCCAAAACTAAGAGTGTCCGGAAGATGTTCCCTTGATTAATAGTGGATTGCAAGTTACCCAATGTAGGTGTTTATATATGGACCCCCCATCCGTTCAGGACATCTTGGGGGAAACGTGCCATCGAACCTTTGAAGACCCTTGATTACGCCATCTTAAACCCACTGCTGGGACTGGGTTCCAGGGCGAACACCGGATCTCTCCGGGACAACACAGCAACCCGTCGACTGCCAGAATTCTGCCTCAGATCTAGCTGGAGTTCAAACGAATGCAAAGGCATACCAGGGGTTTGCGGTGCCATGGGGGGTGGTGAAGAAGACACCCATGTTCACCTCTAAGAAGCGAATAGAACTTGGACACCCCGAGTGGCCGGGGTGGAGGGCTGGAGCACAACATAGGAATCCATCATGAGGGTAACATCTAGTATCGTTTGCTTGTGATCATGAGGGTCATTCCATGTCATTCCCATCATACCCACCCAGAATTCCAAGCACAGCCAAGGCAAGTCTTGATCATGGAAACTTGTCATGGCTGCGGGTGGCACCAAAATACTTTCGGCACGACCGCCCTCCTGGTGTTGTTCAAACCAAAAAGGTGGGAAGGTTGAAGGACCCATCCCCATCCCATGGTGAAGCATCCGACGTTTGACTCTCTGCCTCCAGGTCATTTGCGTTGGTGCTGCGCGGGCACTCGGGCCGCGGTGCGGGTAACTCCGGCAACGCGCACGCAGCCGGCAACGCGCAGGTTGGTGTGGTGTCCAGCTGGTTGAAGAAGCGTTCCAGGGCAAAATCTTCGGTGTGGACCAGCTCCAAGATCTTTTGGCCTTCTTCCTTGGTTTGCTTTGGTCGAAGATGGAGAGGGGGAGTACGGAGTATGTTGCATGTATTCTTTGGATTTCTTGGGGCGAAAGGCCAGCCCCCCTCACGTTCATAAGTTGCAAGAATTGAAAGAAACATATAGCTTTTCATATGTACGAGTTCGCGCGATTTCATGTGTGGTTATGCAAGATCTAAGCTGATCCAAGCATCTTTCGCTTCCAAGGTCTCCTTTGTGAGCCTTTTCTCAGCTCCCTCGGCTCCCGTGGCGCCATCGACCGGCGGCCTCTGCTGGAGCAAGCTTTTACCGTCCACCTCTTCCACCATGGAGCTCTCATGGAAGGAACTGCCCACTGAGTCAGCATCCTCATCTTCTCCATCAAGGACCTCAAGAGCTGGTGAAGTGGCCCTCCACTGCGCGCTCGAAAAAGATCGAAGTGGATGGCATGGCTTTGAGTTCGCATGACCAGTTTCCGAAGACCAAACAGTGTGGTTTTCTCTCCACGTCTGATTTCGGAGAGTGTAGCTCACCCCCAAAAGCTGAAGAACCAGCAGAGGTTGAAGAACCCTATACTATCCTTTAGGTACTCCTGTAGGGTCCTATTTACGGTCACTGGCTACCTCTGTAGGAACTTGTGGTCGCTCCAGTTCAACACCGGAGCCCCCGAGGAGGACGAAATCGAAGCAATTGCCAGGCACCCTCGGCGTGTCCAAGAACCGCTGAAAGGAAAGAACATCAACCAGCAGTCACAAAGCTCGGGGTGGTGTGGCTCGTCCCATCCAGTGAGTGGATGTGTTCTGGGCACCCCGACTACCTCCATGGATAGCACCCGTCTTGTGAGGGCTGGAACAAGAACATGCACAACATCACAAACACCCCCCAAACAGACGACAACTCTTCCGTATATACACCAGGTAACTTGAGATGATGTTGATGTGGCTCCCAAAGCTGAAGCTCCCGTCGTTGCAAAGGGCATCACCTCAACCTTGCTGTGCTCGACCAGCGTCTCGCGCAGGGCTTCCGCAGTGGCGCGCGCCGCACGCTGCTCCTCCAGCTGCTCTTGTTGCTTCCGGCGCTCTTCAGACAACTTCCTCTCAAATGGATGGCCATTCAGAGTCCGATTGAAGTGACTGAAGCTGTTTTAGAAAGACATGGACTTGGAGCTCACTTCCGGTTGGGCTTCTGGATTCCAATGTTCAGTTTTCCTCTCTAGGCGGATATAACATCAGCAGCGTGAAGTGGCTGCAACGCATTGATTCAAGGGCTACTTGCAATTGTTGTATTGCTTAGGACCTATAGGGATTTAGTTGTGGGATTTGCTTCCTCTGCACTCTGTAACATTTGTTTCGTCTTGCGGGATTCCACCTGGCATAGTCGGTTGCCCTGATGCCCTGATTTGACAGGGAACGCCTCTCCCCAGCAGCTCTCCTCATCTCCTCTCTCAACGCTTCAGTCTGAGGCTTTTGTCGTTCTTGCTTCTCGGCCTCAAGCGCGGCACGGCAGCGGCAAATGGATCACCGACTCAAAGACGGCTAACTTGGATTCGCAAACATCTTCCCCATGCCAGGGGATTCACTCAGAAGGAAGATCATATCAATAAACTAAGCAAAGCCAAGCTAAAAAACACCAGCAGAACGTGAAGTTTGCTGGCTCACCTAGTTAATTCGTTTTCAGGCAGGGGGACCAACCTGTACAAACCGCATCTCCAAAGCCAAAGCCAGCCATTCTGGGAGTCCAGTCAACTATTTATTTAACAAATAGACCAATAGCATTTAGATATTCATTCACCAGCAGTCACAATTCATTCACCAGCAGTCACAAAGGGGTGGTGTTTACTCCAATCCAATGAGTGGATGTGTTCTGGGCACCCCGACGACCTCCATGGATAGCTCCCCGTCTTGTAACTGCTGGTAGATGGTATATTAAACAACTCGAAGTGACTCGAAGTGACTCGACGAATCGGCCTTGACTCGATGTCTTGGTCAGTCCGGGACCTGGTCCTTCCCGACCGAGTCAGGGGCGTCTTCGGATTGGTCCATCCGTTCCTCCGCGTTCCTCCCGAGTGCTGAGCGTTCCGAGAGAAAACCACTGAGTACCAGCAGAGGTGGGTCAGAACCCGACGCCCTTCGACTATCCCAGGCCAGGGTACCCCAGGTGACGGGTCCTAGTTCAGGTCACTTAACCTCTGTTGGTAGATCCCGTTTTTCATGGACATCTTGGAGGAACAGATGGAAGCCCCGACTCCTCCATCACCTCTAAGTTCCTCTGTTAAGGTGATGTCGCGGAAGGCTTTTCACCTATACTTCTCGGACGCCCACGGGTCGACGGGTCGTTTCTTCACCCGTCCCCCCCGGGGTTTTTCACCTCACTCCTCCGACGTCGTCCTTGGGCACCTCCCGGAGGCGTTGCTTCAGTCGATGCTTGTAGTGGCCTTGGAGGCAGCGAGGGGACGATGTCACTGTCGATGGCCCTTTGGGATCCTTTTGGTTCGGTACCATGTTTGCACCCCCGTGACGGGGAAGGGGGAGGTGCGCCGCGAACTCGAGCGCAAGTGGTGTGTGTGGTTGCCATGTTTGCATGTCTTTTCCCTAGACTTCCAAGACCATTTAAAAAATGGTTGACCTGGTTTTTGTAGTGTAAAATCCCTAGTTGATTTCATAAAGCCTATTAAATTAATGGTTGTTGGAAGCCTAGGGTTTTGACCTGCTGATTGTGGTCTCCCCTTCTTATGGAGTCTAACCAACCAAGGACCAAAGGCCCCATCCACCCCGCTTTCTCGGGTCCTTCTGGTCCCAATCGACCCTACAAAACTCACCTGGACAATGACAACCTGTCCACGTAAAGTGTACAAAAATGTTCGCCTTTTAATCTTAGTCTTCATTTTCCAGGGAAACTGAGGGATTCAGTTCCCGTCCCTTTCGTTGCCACGCGAGGCAAGGGCAAATGCTGACTCATAACATCTCATAACTATAACTATATCGGGTTATTCACGGTTATTCTAGTGTTCAGTCACCAGTCCCGAACTTCTTGGTTCATGTCGGGAGGGTAGGTCTCCACGCGTGTCTCCGGTCCAAGCTTCGATATCGACGCAGGATGACTCTTGCAGCCTGCCGTTGGAGGTGTTCCTCCACTGCCTGCTTCATGTGATCAAGGAGGAAGTTGATGGATTTCAGGTCCTGAGATTGAGATTGAAAAGGCTTTCAGCAAACAAATGATTTGTTGGGACCCCTCCCCTCCCCTCCCCTTCCCCAAACTGGATGTGGAGAACACCTCTACATGGTAATTAGTTAAAGGGAAATGAACAGGGTACATGTTCAGCAGGGTGTGCACCTCTTTGACTCTATGGTGATTAGGGTAAATTGGCTCATGTTCAAGGTGCATAGTAGCGCAAAACTGGTGGACGTCCAGGGCCCGTGACACATCAGCGAAGCGGTTTCTACATGTTTCTATGGATTCAAACACATGGGGTCCCTCAGTGACCTGACGATCCTTGAGTTCAGAATTCCTGTGACCACCAGGGAAGAAGGCCGCCCGGCTTCCACCAGGAAACACCTCAAGATGGGAAGAAAGACCCAGCGTCATCCTAGAAGTCCGATTCGACACTTTTCTGGCTCGGGCACTACCAAAGGTCTCAGGAAGTTCCGAACTTCACCTGGCCTCCACAAGTGGAGGAGGGATTGACATGGATTCCAAGTGCCAAGCCACCTGGACCTTGGCGATGTGCCATGCCCCGGACTTGGAGGACTCCAAGTGTTGCTTGGCCAAGGCCGCCCGCCGCAGCTGCACCTTCCTCATGTGCACATGACATGTGCGTGTGGGTGCGGAGGTCGTTGACACATGTTTGGTGGGAGAAGCAATCCAGCGAACCAAGGGGGTTCCTGGATTTTGGCATCTTTTTCCCACACACACACACAAACACATTGTGTTCTTCTGCTTTCTGCAACTGCATGACAACTTGCCCCAGTGATATCACAGACTGAGATCGCATCTTGATGCATCTTGAACATTCGTGAATCCAGAATCTATAGTATAGCAATGGGGGAGTACAATATATACAGTCCGTATCAGTCCGATCAGAGATGGCACAAAAACGCTGTGCTCTGCGTTGACGGGAGGTTCACCTGGCCGTTCACTCGAAGGGGCCTGGCCTGGAGGTGGTCCAGGACCACCTTCAAATGAACAGAAGGGACTGGGGAGGTCAACCTTCCAGGGCTTCGGGCTTAACCACAAAACCAGGCTCAGACAACTCCCTAGGGATCCAGGTACCTTCTCAGAAGGTGATTGGAGGCACTGTTGTGTAGGTTTGGAGGGTCCAAGTACCTTCTGAGAAGGTACTTGGATCCCTAGGGACTGGGCATGATGAATCATTCCAACTCACTCCAAAGTGGTGCCTGTTCGGGGTCTGGGGTCTGTTCGGGGCTGTTTTCACGGAGCGTCGGCGTTCCGCGTTCGGATCTGCCGCCGGGTGTCCAGCTCTGCACACTGGGACAATGGACCTCCGGCGTGTCAGAGGCCTGCGCCGCGTGTTCTCGAGCCAGCTCTGAGGCGTGTTGAGAGGTGGAAAGGGCACCAAAGCTCCATCGTCCTGCTTGGGCATGCAGGATCTGGATCAACATCATATCATACTACCAGTGCCCGACTGGACAGGTACACCTGCCATTTTCTCCATTTCAGCCACCATTTCGGAGACCTGTAGAGTCGGCAGGTACCGCTGGAAGTGCCTGAAGATGCTTGAGGTGCCTCTGATATATAGCATATTCCTACCAAGTGGATCAAATAGGAATCTTGCTATTTGCTGTTGAATCTCGGCCCATCCTCCAGCAAAAAAAAACCAATGCAATCGAACAGGACGTGACCGTCGCGACCGTTGTATTCATCCAACAAACCCACGTGACCGTTCGGATCCTTCGGATGGAGGTGCTTCGTTTTTTGCCATGCGCCCACTCCGGCTCAGACCCACGAGGCTTTGGGGGTGGTTTCTATGTGGGAACCAAAACATCATCAAAACTGTAGATATTCAACCTGTTTTTTTGGGGTTTCAACACTCCCTGGAATCATGGATGTGGAAAACCACTTATTTGTACAGGAACGTTGTCATACAAGGCTTCAATTCCCGGGAATGTAAAGCAAACTCAGTTCAAACTCCTCACCGGTAGGTAGGTCAGGCCATCTAATGGTCAGTAGGTGAACCCCATCATGAACCCCATAATGACCCCATCATCTATAGTCAGTATAGGTTAGGTCATCGAATGACCCCCTTCTCCATCCCACCACCAGCAGAGGTTGAAGAACCCTATAGACTATCCTATAGGTACCCCTGTAGGGTCCTATAAGGTCACTTAACCTCTGTAGGCACCGCCTTGGATTTCTTCCTCTTCTCCGTCTTCCGCTGACTGCGCCGCGGCAGCACGTCGGACACCTCGCGCACCTCGCGCATGCTCGGCGCCGGCGAGTTGGGGAGGCGAGGCGATTGTGGGCCGCCACCGGCGGAGGGTGCCATGCCGTGGCATGGCCCCCCCCTGTTGACTGCTGCATTAGGGACTCGAATTGGTTTTACTCAAACACTCATGGACCCGGAGACCCTCTGGATACGAACCAATTCCTCGGTTCGCTTTGGTGCCTCGGGCTGTGTTCACGGAGCGGGTAGATGGGCTGTGCGGGTTCCACCCAGGACCCATCGAGCGGAAGTTCAGCCGGTTTTGAAGTGCAACATCCTTTACATGAGTCCAAGACCCTTCATTTAACCTACAGACATCTACAGACATCTACAGACCCATATAGTCAATCAGGTGTTCCGAAGAACAGGAATTGTCTTTAGTTTTGCCAAGGTGCCCCAAAGAGCCGAATCTAGGATCTTGTAGGGGAATACATGCGGTCCGTTCAAGCTGGGGCCATCCTGATGCGGATGCGATCCTAAACCCACCTTGGTCAAAGTTCCACACGGGCGACAGACGAGCGTTTGGAACTGCGAGCGGTTACAAAGCACACTGGAGAAAGTGGTAGTAGCACCACACTGGCATGTTTATAGTAATTACAGTAATTGGATTGGAGGTCATTGGGCACATCTGTACGACCCTCCTGTCAGGGTGTCCTACTCCACACTACCTAGTTGGGCTTCCAAACAGGGCACCCCTTAGAGGAGGGTCCTGGTACTCGATCACACTTAGGAGAATGCGAAATCTCGGAGGTCGCCCGTCTCGGAGATACATGGGCATAGTGTTGAGTAATTATCCTTGGGACACTCACTGATGATCCTGGTAGTTCGTTCATCATTGGCACTTCCAACCAACAGAGGTTGAAGGAGCCTAGTTCGCCGATCCGGTACCCCAGGTTTGGCAGGTCCTAGTTACGGTCACTGGCTAGCTCTCTTGGAAGGAGTGAGAGCCCTCTCTCACACCCAGTCCATCAAAAGACCCGAAGCCCACCACATCCATCGGATCCGCCTGGATGCCCGGGTGCTCCTCCTCCGCGGCAGGATCTTCCTCGCACGCGTAAATGTGGTGACTAAGAGCCCATTGGAGCAGCAAGGGTTTCCTTGCGGAGCCTTGGGTGCTAAAAGGTGTCATGGGTCTCAATTGGTAACCTGCCAGAGGTTGAAGGACCGGTCCCCCAGCAAACCTATATAGGGGACCGGATCGCCTATAGCCTAGTCCGAACTGTCGGGTTCTGACCCACCTCGGGTGTAGAGTCGGGCTCTGGTTGATTGATTGCGGTGCTGGGGGATGCCTTCAGACCCGGATCCAGCTGCCGGTCCGGCGCTTCGAGGCTAGGCCGTTCGCGGGATGATGTGCATCCACGAACGGAGCTGGGCTGAAGAAGAGCGGAGGATGGGAAGCTGGTGGAAGCTGGGAAGATCAGATGCAGAACATAGAACATATAGTCCATCATTGTCCCATATGTTCCAGCGGGATTCACCCGAAACCTGGAAGTTTCAAACATCGGCCCGAAATTTTTGGAGGAAAACCGGTCCCGGACGTTCCAAGTTGCAGCAGCCATGACCATGCGCATCCGCAAGAGGTCCTTGGCTCATGCATCACTCCCAAACTTCAAACCCACCTACTATGCAAGTTACAGTACCAGAAGTCACAAAGGGGTGGTGTTTAGTCCCATCCAGTGAGTGGATGTTCTGGGCACCCCGACTACCTCCATGGATAGCACCCCGTCTTGTGACTGCTGGTGCATAGATTTAACGCAAGTAACACTTCCATGAATGGAGGGTCTAGGACTGGCAGGCTGGTTCACCGCCCCGGAGGTGGAAGTTCCCCCGACATCATGCATGGTGGTCCATGCCAGTCGTCCAAAGGTCTGCTTCGCAGTTCGTCCGACAAGCTACCCAAAGGTCCTAGACAACAAGGCAGCCATTTTTGTCCTGTGAGGGTTGGGATTGATGATTAGACACCAAACCAAACCCAACCCTCACTGTTACCCAGACGCTCCATGTATGCCATATATGCCTACATTGGGGTGGTTTGGGGGGTCAATGTAGGCATATATGGCATACATGGAGTGTATGGGTTATAGTGGTCCAGCAGCCCGAACTGACAGACCTCTTTCAAGACCTTCGAGGTTCTTCACATTTTCCAAACGCTCCACGGGACATGGGACCGCATGGACTATGCCATTCTATGCCTATTTGACCCCTGAAATCAGCCCAATCCAGGCAAAATACACTCTGACGAACACATCACATGGAAGTGGATGGCATGGTCCCTTCAAAGACGACTTTCTACCAACAGGGGATCTCCACTTCCATGTCAGTGAGTCAGAGTGTATAGTCAGTCCTTGGCGGAGAAACATTTGCGTCCCCGCATCGACCCAACCCACGTTTTTTTTGGGCAAAGCACCACTGAGCGGCGAGGGAGGGCGTCTTGGATTTGCTGATTCAGCACCGGTACAAATCTGGGAAGGGGGATTCCTGTCATATACCTTAAGGATCAAGGACCCTGAAAGGTCCAGGTTTTGAGGGCCCAAACCTCTGCCATACATGCCCTACAGTGGGATCCTTAGGAGGGTGGGGAAAGTCAACATGTCCCGATCCGCAACACCCGGTTTTGCCCACGTCTTCCTCTCCAAGCATCCGACACCTGATAGACCTTCTCCTCCGAATTCGGCTCACACATGCCCGCGAGCTGTCGACTTCTAGCCTTGGGGTGGGTGGTTTTGCCCGGTGCGAGTTGTCCGAGGGGGGCAAGGCGCAAAAGCGGTTGGAACTGCATTGGTTTTTGGGGGTGGTGAACGCCGGCCATATGCCACCATGGCCCTTTGGGTGTGGCCATTTGGCACCTTTATTTGGGGGGGAGCTGCCCTGAGTGATACAGGTGAGAGACACAAACTGGGTTTCTTTTGCAGAGAAGAGCGCCGTAATGAGAGGTAGAAGTGATGGGCACTCTGACATACTTGATTGCTTTCTAGTCATCCAAATTCACTATAGATCATGCAATCAGGGGCATCATTATCTATCTGATCTAATAATCTATCGCTGCCAAAACTGCATCCCTGACGCCGGGCGCCCCACCAGTCTGCTTGGCCAAGCCACCGGCATACCGCCCACAGAGTTGGAGAGCACAGCGGGCCCAGTGGGCCTTGGAAAACTCTCGCGTTTGAGCGTCGCACCGTCGAAAGTTTGTGGTGGGTGCCAAAACGTCGGGTCCAGTCATACCGAACCTGAGGAGGTACGACTGGAGCCCTATAGGGTCTTGCTTCTTTCGATTTTGCGCCAAACCACCAGATCCAGGAGCTCCATCAGGGGTGCTTTTGGAGTCCCATCAGTGAAACTCCCAAGTTCAGCACCCCCACCTGGAGCCGCAGCGTGTTTCCAGGGGGGCCTTTTCGGATCCGTTTTCGTGACCGAACCTCAGGTTCGGTACGACTGGACCCGACGTTTTGTCACCACAGTATCTCCAATCACCGCACCTGAGAAGGTACTTGGATCCCTAGGGTTTTGATGTATCTGACAGGTTTCAATGGTTCCACCTGAATGCGGGCCGTGGAGAGGGGACCTCCACGATCTGGCAGTGAGGGTGCTGGTAGACATTCCACATCCACATACGACAACCCCCAGCTATGGATGCTGACCAGTAGAGATTACAACCAGTAACGGGATGTTCAACCTGAGATCCTCGGCTACCTTCTCAGAAGCTACGACCTCCAAGCAGCGACATAAACGTGTCGAATACATCACTCTCGAAGGAGATGTGGATCCGGTTGGCATGGCACCGTCTTGTGTCTTCAAACCAACCTGAAGCGGGTTTTCATGAACCCCCAGGTTTCAATGTCGAAACTCACGTGGTAATCAATGCTCATTTGATAGATCGTTTTCAACTCGCGTAGCTCTGTTCCAGGGCGTAGTCCTGCTCTTCTTTGCCCTGGCCTCTCATGTCTTGGAGCGCTCCCGCATGGGAGTCCCACACCCCGAAAACCCACCACCGAGGCGCAACTCTTCCGTCGGACGTGGGACGCCGTGAACGGATGCCGTGACCGCGTGGAGTGTCAGCCTGGACGTCGAAAGAATGGACGGTGGAAAAAGGCGTCCATTTCGCCTGGTGCTCCTGTGATGACGAAGTAGTTGGACTCCGAAGAGCGGTAAAATGTGTCACTGGAAGTTCTGGGAGGTTGTGGACAATGAGTTATGATAGTTGTGATAGAGAGAGGGAGAGACACACAACGATCAAAACCATTGGGAATAAACCCGTCACAGGAGATACGAGTAGCATAGGAGCACCCTCTGTCCAATCATGGGAAGAAATGGCCTCCACTTCCATGTTGGGATGCTGTGGCCCCCCCAAGGGTGATCTCGATTCCCAAGTGTCAATTGCATGAAGATACACATGCCCCTTCACCTCAATAAGTAGTGCTCTTGAATGAACAATTGCAGGACAATGAGGTCTTTGACCTGTAGGGAGAACCGCTGCATTGCAGGATGGGATGGTTTCGATGATTTTGTCTTTGAGCCAACAATGCGTGCACACCGGCGGGCGCCCTCCAACCACGGTGTTGCCTGCTACAAGTTTTGGAGGTGGCTGAGGAAAAAATATAAGCCCGTCATAAGGAAACACATGGACCACAAGCGGCCAAATCGAGTTTTGGACTCTACTACTGCCCTACTTTTCGAACCACCACCAAAAGCACGCACCGCGTTTGGGCGTTCTTATTCCAAGATGCTCTTGGGATATTTGCACCTCTGCCCTCATCTCAAGAGCTCCTGGCCCAGGCAAATTGCACTCTGGTGGCTTTTCAGTGCGCAGCGGGGTCGGGCGTTCTGGTGCCCGGCCCGGTGCTTCTGGACGCCTTGGCTCATGTGGCTCGGATCGAGGGGGTGCTCGTGCAGCTGGGCCCGGCTGCGCTCGGCCCAATGGTTCCACCGGTGAGCCCGGTGCTTGGAGCCTGGGCCCGCCCAAGGCGGGACCTGCAGGAGCTGCAGGTCCAGGTGCTGGGCACGGCGCCACCCAGGGCGGGTAAGCACGCCGGGGAGGGCCGGAGGCAGCTGGAGGGCTTCTGGTCTTGTCCATTTTGGGGGGTAGGTGTTCAGTGGCTGGATCTGGCCCGGGCTTCGGATCGCTCTCTTCCCCCAACCTGCCGCGTTCGGTGTGCGAAGGTGCGTTTGGGCGGCTTTTTAGTGGGGCAAGGAGGGGGGGAGATGTGGGCAAAGATTCGCGTGAGCTGGCTGCAGTCATCTGCAAATCATGTTATAATGTCTTTGCTTGGGAGGATCTGGTGCGGGATTTAGTATATTGCCTTACACCTCCAGTCGTACCTCTTCAGAAGGTATGACTGGACCATCCTGGAGGGGTTCTTGGAGGCCTAGGGTTCAATACTCTGTCAGGATGCGTCAGGCCTTCGAAGCTTGAAAGGTGACCCAGACGCGACGAATGGGACTGCCATAGGACTGCCGCCCCATTGACCCCTGAAGCCTGAAACCATCCCAACTGATCGCCATCTATGGCAGTCCCGTGGAGCGTCTGGGTAACAGTGAGTGTGTTCCTCAGAATCCTTCTGCTCTTCTTGTGCTCAAGGGTCTTGTTTGCGTCGCGTCTGGAGCGTCCTGGACATCCAGTTCCATTAAATGGGGCGTCCTGGAAAGCTCCTGAAAAAATATGAACAAATCCCCCTCCCAAAAACAGAAACACAGGAGTTAACACCTACAGTTTCAAATCCCCAACATGTCCCTACCATCCATGCACTTTGGGTGATTAAAAAAAAAAAAACATGCACTTCGGAGGGCTCAATGAGGCTCAACGGACCCTCCCGACTCCTGACCGCTTCGCGTCGGGCACCGGAAGGCTCGGGGGGCGGAACGGAACTCGAAGAAGTGAGACCGGCCCTCTGAATCACTGAACCGACGGTAGCCGACCGAACGACTAGGACCCGGTTTCAACCAGGAGTACCTATATACCCGGCTGAAGTTCGACTATATATTGACCGGCCGAAGTAAAGGAAGTTCCCGAACTCAGGTCCCCTAGTCAGACCATTCTTTTGATAGTCTGACCGACTCCCAGGGTATATATAGGATAGTAGTCGAACAGTCAGGTTCTGACCCACCTCTGCTGGAATCACCCACCCATTTGCATTGTTCTTCATGGTCATCATGTGTGAAGAACGTAGCAGTCACGTGAGGAAAGGGGTGCGGACTCCATGGAGGTAGGAGTTGGGTGCCCCTGTCACATCCACTGACTTTTGGATGCGCGCTCAAGCGGTTCAAGTCCAAGCCACCGATCTCCTTCCATCTCCGCCACCGCCAAAACACTGGAGAGCCCCGTCGACGGCGCTCCAGCTGGGCCCTGGAGATGGGGGTTCTTCTGAATTTCCTGAGTCGATGCAGTCCACCAGCATGCACCAGTGAACACCGTGAATCTAAGACCTAATCATGCAGTGTCCCCCAAACTTGAGAAGGTCCCAAAAAAACTTGAGGAGAAGAGAAGAGCATGCCTGCCAAACAAACAGAACACATCGTAGTAAATCTGGTTCTATGGTGTTCTGTCTAGCAACCTTACTGCTGATTTCACAATACAAAAAGGAGGTTCGAGCCGCCCAAAGAAGCTCCAAGTTCCTCCATACTCAGCTGAGTTTCTTTGTAGATGAGGTTGACCTCAAGGAGCAAAACGGGTGCCGGATGGTGCTGGATGCCCTTTTCTGGTGCTGAAGAAAACCGAACAACCCTTATTTTGAAATTTGCTAAGGATTTTGCGCTTACCAAATCATCAAATTTTCAATTGGTCTTGGACTTCCAGGAGGGTAGATTCTGCACTTCCTGAGCCACCTGGTTCTCGCTCCTCAAGCCCTCATGGCATCTTACAGCAAGGTCGGTGTTGGGAACCCTTAAGAAGCAGGGGTAAAACAAATAAACGAAGAACGCCGGGCCGGAAACTTCGAACACAATCGCTGCCCAGTGGACCAATTGCTCGCCAGCACCCGAGTGGTTGTTCCATCCTTTGTCGCCCAGCAAGGAGAAGCCAAACGTCTCCGGTCTGCGTGGGTCGCCCATGAAACGCTTTGGCTCCATCGCGTTCCCCACGGAGGTCGGAAAGGCTGCGGAGGTGCCGAGTGTGACCGCTGTGGATGGCGAGGTGCCAAAATCAGTTCATTTTGATGTTAGGTCGGTCTATTATTGGAAGAATAATGAGGAATATGATGCATCATTTATGTGTGGCATCTGCATGGGTACATTGATGTCACCACATCATCTTTTACAACGGCCTAGTCAAAACATGTCAAAACCAAATTGGTCAGCGGTCGGGCCTCAGTAGGGGCTCCCAGTGGGCTTCCCCTCTCCTACGCCACACGCCGTGGCGCTACGTGGGCACGAGCCGTGCAAGCCCCCTGGTGCAGGGCTAGGGGTGCCACGACTGATGCACCCACTTGAACCAGAGGTCAGGTCGGGTCAGGTCAGGTTTGTGTGTGTCCATCCCCAGCTGAAAATCACGAACACGTTCGGAAGTTCGCCAGTTCCATGGGGTGGAGAATGGCGCATGGGTTGGGCAGGGTTTCACGCCTGCTCAGCATCTGCCTGGTGCGAAACGCCTTCGAGACCAGCCTGCCCACCATTCCCAGCTATGGCTGAATACCGAATCAACTGAGGATTTTACACTACAAACACCAGGTCAACCATTTGTTTAATGGTCTTGGAAGTCTAGGGACAATAGACGTCCAATTCATTCTATCCCACACCATCCATATATATATATATATATATTATGGTATATTTAGACCCATCGACCCCTGAAACCACCCACATCGACCCCTGAAACCACATCGACCCCTGAAACCACTCCAACTGATCGGTAGTCCTATGTCAGTCCCATGGATGGTCTGGGTCTGGGAAAGTCTCACATCACCAAACTCAAACAGTTCAGCTGGTGCCTACCAGGACCTTCAAGAGGTGTCTACAAATAGCCTCTTAGTGGTTAAGGGGTGTCCAGAAACCACCTGTTGGAAGGTGCCTAGGGACTGCACTTGGAATTTCTGGCCAAATGAATGCCACCTCGATTCTGAGGCACAGCCCGCCAGGTTCTTCCAGAGCTTTTCAGTGAGTGGATGGTTCGCACCCCTACTCCCCTACTCTCCCATAGACTTCCCTTTGGAACAGCCCAGGCCCTGTCAACCCGCCGCATCTGGAGCAAAGGGGCGCCCGTTCTCGGTCTTGCATGGCCTTCTCCAGCAGTTGGTGAAGCTCCTGGAGCTGCGCGGCGCGTGTTTTCCACGCGGATCGCTGATCTCAGCGCGGATCGATCTCGAGAAGAACAACTCTTTTGATCCGATAGCTCGAGAAGAACTCTTTGTCTTCTGGTTGAAAGGCTCGGAAGGAGGATGTGGTCTTTTCATGTCGTTTCTCATATTCTCCAAACATCTCCAAACGAGGAATGTTTTAAATTCTCAGGATCGATGTTGAAATGGAGACTCTAGGAAACACAGACCCACAAAATGGAACTCAGGACACTAACAGACGCGATGGTGCACCTCAGGTTCTTTGAACTCAAGTGATCTATGAGACCTGTGTTTGAAATATATCCCAAACACTCCATGGGACTGCCATACATATACAGTCTCATTAGTCGTGTATGGGTATAGAGACTCACAGTGGTGACTCCACGAGAATCGACACCACGAGTTTCCGTCTTTTCTTTTAGTCCTTACATGTCCCCGCAGCTCACATGAGCTAACATGGAAGTGGACAATTTGATGAATGGCCCTTTGCAAGGCCCTGATTCCGAATACCAAAGATCCAAGAGAGGTTAAGTGACCTTATAGGACCTACTGGGGTACCTATGGGATAGTCGAACTAGGGTTCTTCAACCTCTGTTGGAGGTGTTCCACTTCCATGTGAGTTCCAGGGAGGGTGCTATTGAAATGAGTGGATCTTCTGAGCACCTCGGGGTGCCTCGTGCACGCTCCACCCCGGGCCTCGACATGACGCACACGACCTAATCTTCCTTTTACTCATGACCTCGTGACCTTCCGGAGTGTTCTCGTGCCCCGCATGATTCCAGAGGTTGAAAAACCCGAACTAGACTATCCCATCTGGGTGCCCTACTATGTAGGGTCCTAGTTCAGGTCACTGGCTACCTCTCTTGGTTGTTCCAGATCGCATTGACCCCATGGAAGTTGATACCAAAGCAGTGAGATGGAATCAGACCAGACCTTTGAAACGAAACGACAAGGTCGGAAGGAGAAGAGTGACATGTAAGGTGCCCCCAGCGTCACATACGGTGCCCCCAACTGCATGGGCCTCCAAACCCACCTAGAACATGCAACTTCCATGTCTGTTGAACTGTTGACCTCTGAGAAGGGGTATGCTGCTCTTATCCTCTATTCAGCCGACTCTAAGGAACTCCTGATGGGTTTGCTGAACCAAGAAGAGATGTCAATCAAACATTCACCACGATCAGGGAACCTACAGAGGTTAAGTGACCTTGTAGGATCCTACAGGAGTACCTATAGGATAGTCCATAGGGTTCTTCAACCTCTGCTGGAAGTCCCCCATATAATATGATATACCGTAAGGAGAAAATAGCACATCACCCTAAGCAAAACCATGGTGGACACTCCATGGGACTGGTATACATGCCGATCAATGGACCCCCGAAACCACCCCAATGTGTGTAAATGTGCCGTACATGGAGTGTTTGGGCATGATAAACAAGACTGCTTGAATTCGGTGCCTCGCGGCGAATGCGTGACTTCGCCGCGTTCGCCCCCGCCCCCCAGGCCTCCACCGAGCGATTCACTCGCTGCAAGCGCAGTGCCTTCTCGAGCGCCTCGGGTTTTGGACGAAGGCGAAAAGAGGCGCAAAAAAGACCACGTGGGGAGCGTTTGATTTGAAGGGTGTTCAGGGGGGGCCGGGGGATTCCTGGCCCGTCATTACCATCAGCAATTCAATGTCGATGGCACAAGTTACGCCAAGTTGGGTGGTTTTATCCAACGCCTGGAGGAGACTCAAGAGATGCTTTTGTATGAAAAAGGGCGTGTAAGTACCAAAAGTGTGCTTCTAGTTGTTTTGGATGGTTTATAGGGAATTCTGGACAAGAATGTGTCCTTCTCTTCCGATCTATAACGTACGTGTGTGTGGCATTTCTATCTCAGCGGAACGCAACATGCTTTATTGCTAAATGTTGAACAGTTGAAACATGTTGAAACCAAACGGTCGCATGGCGTCCAAATCGGGCAAGCCTAAGGTTCCACCAGGGTGGCCACACAGCCCGCAGCCACGCCGAGCCTACCTAGTCTTGGAACAAACATCAGACTGGAGAAAGGTGCCAAATTGATCAAATTGGTGGATGTTCTCTCCAATCACCAAAATGTCCGACACCTAAATACGCCCCAAAGACCTTCCCAGCCTCTCCCCCGGACGCCAGATCCCGCAGCCATTCCGACCCATCCCAGCCTCATCTCGCTCCCGCATGGTGGTACTTAGGAGCGTCCTTTCGCCCCGCGCATGCCACAGTGGAGGGGCGGATGCGACTGCTTCAGTGGCACGTCTCCCCCCGACCAAAATTGATCTATAAGATTCTGTAAGGTGAAAATCGGCCGGAAAGACATGGTTCAATCACCCTTAGACCATCTTATAATACATCTTATATCATGGCTTTAAACCCGGTTTCCTGTAGGCCTTCCCTGCCTTCAACCTATACCGAACTTGGTTGCAACTTGGTTACACTTGGTTGTGAGCCATAGTTAAAGGCTAAGTATGATTGATTTGTCAACCTGCTAGCTCCTTAGCCTTTACTCGTCTGGATGTACTGGGCCTGATTCACTTTGAAGAAGATATCCCTACAGGTCAAGGATGTCATTTCACTGTGTCTGGTCATACAGAAACAGTACCCAACGAGGTCAAGGACAAGGTTTTCTTGGTCCTTCGACTGTGACATCTATGTCGGACCACTGCAGCGCAGCACGGCACCTACTGTCCACGCCTCAACCCGTCCATGAGGACTTGCACTGAACCACGCAAAACCCCAACACATCCCACACGATACCCCTCGCCTCAGCGCCATGAGATCCGACTGCTCTCGGGCCTGGAGGGTCACCATTTACAGACCACCTCTGCTGGTAGAGGTGGAGAGGTGGGTCAGAACCCGACGGTTCGACCATCCTAAAGGTACCCCAGGTTTTCCGGGTCGTTCAGATCACTGAGATTTCCTGACAGACTTGTCAAGTGTGGACTGGAGTGACTGTTGCATTGGTACGGCGACGATCGCAGGGCTGCTGCAAGTTTCTCTTTTCAGCAGCCCAAGAGACGTGCTCGTGCCAAGGCCAAATGCGCCAAAAAGGAAAAGGAAAAGAACAAGAAGAAAGAAAAAAAGGATAAGAAGACCAAGTAAAAGACATCCAAGAAGAGGAAAGCGAGCTCTTCATCTTGAAAGAAGATCAGAGTTGGGATAGCCTGGAGGATATCCTGAAACACATGTCCAACTGATATCAACTGATTTGCACTGAGCAGCAGTGAAAGGAAAAAGACAGGCCCAATTGCATGGATCTTATATTACTATCGATGTTCATGTGATTAAACATCTTGAGGATGGTTTCAATGTTGTACAAATCATGTGGTCAAAATCAAAATCATTTTGTAAGGCTTATATATGCTCTAAACCATATCTTGACCACCCCCTAGTAACTCAGCATCCCCAGATTCCGTTGATCCTTGGGAATTGGCCGGCAAGCACGGTCACCTGATCATTCCATCCACCGGACACAACGTCCGGCCATTCGGCCGTCCAGGTTTGGCAGAAAAAACACCGTTAAATCCAATGGTTGGACGCCTTAGGGTATGCTGGACTGGACGTCCCTTTGGAACACTTTCACGCGCCAAAGCCTGAAAAAAAAGCGCGAAGAAAAACGCCCGTGAAGAGCGGTTTCGCGGCGGGAGGTGACTGGAACTTGGTGCGACTCAACTGCAAAACACCAAGTGGAGGAACACAACTCAACACAAAGACCATCGCTAACACCTCTCCGTCTCCCCTAGAGAAACACTAAACTACAAAGCACCTGTATGAAGGACAACACGCGCTACAAAAAGGATCGTGCTTTATGTTTTAATGCGCGCCGCAAAAAGTACGAAGAAAACTAAAACAAA